CGGCTCTACTTGAGGCTGACGAGTATCTGGGGTGAAGACACTTAGCTGCAAACTGTTGATGGACAAAAAACACATGAGCCTGCAGACTCTGTCCATCTGTCTCTGCTGTGTGGCAATTTCATAACTGTTGTCAGAATCCAAAATCATTCACTGTATTTAAGATACACGTGTTTCTGAATCCTTATTGCCATAAAGGATTTTGATGAAATAAACACTATTTGCTGTGATTTAAACGTGATATGAAGTGCAATGTGAATGTTGATTTCTACATTTTGATGCGGATTTGTGGAAAATCACTTTGTTAGAACTATCTGCAAGACTCCAAGGAAGCAGCTTTAACACGCTTGTAGTCTAAATACAGTTTGGTCATCTTTTGCAATCACTGCCATTTCCAATTCAACCGCTCAGGTCGATATTACTGTAATCATTTTTCATGACTCAAGATTAATTCTTGAGTTTTCCTTTCTGGCTTCCTGTTAAAGAAATGTCGTCCTCTCTCTGCCTTTGTCGAAGCCAAACTCTTCCTCCTCCTCAGTGTCCAGTTTCCATCATGCTTTCTCTCTGTGGCCGTCCTCTCCCCCAAGGGGGAGGTCGCGGTTCTGTTGTACTTTAGCCGCAATATGGCCGCCGCCGTGTCTCCCCACCATCTCGTGACCAGGAATGATAATGAGCAGCTTTGAGACGCCTTGTTTTTGAGCGACTGACTGTGAAAACAAAGTTGAGGGAGTAATGGAGAGGGTGATACACGACCATGGGGATAAAGTCATTCCAGGAGACAGTTATGGAAAAGAAGGAGAGTAAAAGAGTTCGTTAAAGAATGGTCGAGAGAAAGACGATGATGTCAGTGTCTCCTTGTCGAAGCAGCTGTGTTCTGACATCCAGGTCTCCTTCTGCACCGCCTCTTCATCTACCTCACACACACAAGAGTCTGTGTGTGTGTGTTTCTGTGTTTTCTCCATTGAATCCAAACGAGGCTCTCTGACAGACAGAAGGCTGACGTCTGAGCTGCCTGTACGTCTGGTGCAGCTCAGTATAGAAAACTGTCACGCTCTGAAACCTGGCAACAGACTCTGGACCAGATTCTTGTTCAGGAAAAAATGTGATGAGTCATTAAACAGAATATTAATCAGCTACGAGCTAGCCAAAGTGTGCTAACATTAGCCTGCCAACACAACAATGCAGACCGCAGGCAACTGCAGCTCAAGCAAAAGGACAACTTGTCCACCGCTTGCACTTAATGGTGCTTAATTGTGGTGCGTTCTAATGAACAACTGCTTTCGTGCGAACGCGAGTGGAGTGGGGTTGGAGGTGTGTCGCTGGAGGAGAGCGGAGGCTTCAGAATAGCGGCGGTGTTGTAAAAAAAAACAGCAGTTTGTTGTGGTTAAGTGCTGGTGCTCAAGGGCGACATCTACTGGATCAAAAAGTCATTCTTCCTTTAATTTGAAATCTATTCAAGCGAAAGTTGCCTTCAGAGTTTTCAGGGTGTCTGTCTTCTTCCAACAATCTTTGCTTTCCTGACTACAGAATGTAAACGACTCTTACATTACGGTCTTTCTCCACGTTTTTTTTTTTTTTTTAGATGTTTTTCAGTTTTCATGTCTCTTGTTGAATATTGTGTCAGCCCGTTCCTGCTGTGTTTGTCTTCCTCCTGTCTGTCTTCTGTCTGTAATTATTCTGACTTTTTCTAAAAACTCTCCAATGACTGACAGTTTGTGGGCGATGCGATATTCTGTCGACCAAAGAAGGAACTATTTTCTTAGTGTTGACTTTCTGCTCTTTAGATTTTTTGCTTTTATTTCCACTAAGTTGTGGATATGTGTACATCTCACTGCCTTGCTGGTTGAGTGGCGGGTCGTCTGGCTCACCTGCTGGGTGACTGACGGTCTGCTGCTGATGAGTGGATTAGCAGAAGGACTGGCGGCCTGCTTTGTTGGCTCTCTGACTCACTCGTTGGCTTGCTGCCTGGTTAAATGACTAGCTGCCTGGCTTGAGCGGTAACCAAATGGTCGGCTGACTCAAGGGATTGGCTACCATCCGGCCAACTGACCTCATCATCAACGGACAGTCTGAACTCTTTGAACAGTCGGAGCAGATTAAAGCAAAAAATGAATGAGGGAAAAAAAATCTGCTTATTTTTGGAGGGGTAATCAGCTCGATCCCAGGGATGTTCTCGTCTAAAAACCTGCTGTTTACTTTGAGATAACTTCACCTTTATCTCAGCAATGACATAATTAGCAAGAGGAAGAACCGAGCAGAAAAAAATTAAGAGAAAACCCTCTCCATATGAGTGACGGAGGGAAATAGTCGTTACTCAGGTTAACCTAAGCGTCCTGTATGTCAGAGATAGTGAAACTGAGCGGCAGGATGTACGTTTTTAGATCTGATGACTTCTGCTTAACTATCTTTAAATGCCGTAGTTTGGCTGAAAAGTCCTTTCATCTCTGGACAGGGCTCAGAAATGTCAGCCGAGTCGTCTGTCTGTCTGTCATCAGTTGCCTTGCAGCTGCAGAGCCTCGATAAGACTCGTGTGTTTAGATTTCTGCTAAAACGAACATTTAACACCAATCATATCCTGTTGTGAAAAAAAGAAAAAGACATGCTTTGACAGCCAACAGAATGAGGTCGCTACCCTGCAGTGATAAATATAAATGTCGGGTAATGTCTTTTGCAGATGTAAAGCAGCTCTGAGTTGTCAGTCTACAGAAACATTCATCATAGTCGGATTGAAACACATACTCACATACAGCAGTCTAAGGACTGTTCTTATATAACCTAAAGATCTGTTCTTTGACATTGTTGGTTCTCCTTTGAACACTGTTGTCTTATGGGTTTTTTATCCCATCGAAAGACACATATTCTGCACAGAGCTCTGCCTCTGATTGGTCCAAAGATTGGCTCATTAAACTGCAGAACTTGGAGCTTTCTTTTTATCAGCTACTTTGTTGTTGTTTCTTATGATTCTGTTTTTTAAAGCATACAATGACACAGAAAATAAACATGGTGACTGTGAAGAAAAAGGTTTTTCTATACACTCGAGTGCTACATAAAGTGTGTTTTATCATTCTCTCTTATTGTGAAAATATCTGTTTTCACATGGAGCCAAAGTGAGTGTAAAATAACAACGCTCCTACATCTGGACTTCAAGGAATCAAAAGGTCAACTGCTTCAAAACCACAAAAGCCAAACTGTTTCCCCTCTCGGTTCCTCCTGGCTTCTTCTTCACGGAGATTTCTGCAGTGCTCAGTTTGTTCAGAAGTCCGGTCTGCAGCTTCCTGTCACGCTCCCGCTTATCGTGCTTATAATAACGGGGAGAACGTTGTGTTATGTCAGCTCAGGTTGGTCTGTAAAGTCAGACGCACAAGCTCGGCTGATGCAAATCGCTGGCAAATAAATGTCATACAAGCTCTGTGACGCTGCAGTGATGGAAAAGTAATCGCTTGATCTGGTTAGAACTCTTGAGTCGGTGTTGTAATATCCTGAGTGTGTGACAGGAGGCTGTTGTTATTATTCTCAGCTCAGTCTGTACGTGCAGGTTTGTTTCCGACTGATATCTGCTTTGCATATTTGTTTGTGTCTCTGCTTGGCTCCTCTGAACATAAATGGACTGAAGAATAGCTGTTGAAGAAAACTTTTTTCACATTCGTCTGCGTTGTCTTCAGTATCAAGGTTGCCCACTTGGAGAGGGCTGAGGTCTCAAACATTACACGGATGACGTGAAAACTAAGGGCGAGTTTTAAAACACGGGGGAGTTTAAGACTACATGGAATATGTTGTCTGATAGGTTTGCCTTTTAGGATCCTTGAGAGGAAAAATACAATTTCCACGCTTTCTTTTGAGCTGCTTTAAATCCAGCATTAAAGACGTTTGATACTTTGATACTTTTTGGATACCATGTGTTTTAAAATGATAAATACAACATAAAGATGGTATTTTAATGATATATAGTATAGAAAAGCACTGTTTAAAATTGCACAAAAACATTGGCAACATGTCAATGTTTTTGTGCAATTTAGTCAGAGTGCAGCACTTTGTCTGCAATTTTTGATAACAAAAAACAAGATATTAACAAATATTCAGTGTCTAGGATATATATTATTGTTGCCATGGTAACAAAACCAGTATGCATATTGTTTGATTTTCATTCTTATCATATGGAAGTTTGAAATTCTGGTTTTGTGAATAGAGCCCGACCGATTTATTGGCCTGCTAATGATATCGGCCGATATTAGCATTTCACGTGGCTATCGGTATCGGCTAGTTTTATCTCCGATATGTGCCGATATAACCAGTTTAGTTTATTTCTAAATAGTTGATTTTTATAATAGTTGATTTGTAAATATCTAAATGAGTATTTATAAGTTCACTCTGTCCAACAAAGGTTTATGTTCAAAGACCGTTTTTACACAACAGCATTGTTGGATCAACACAATAACAGTGTGTAACGATCTGTCTCTTAAGATTGATGATAGAGCTCAGAAAGATATCGGTCAATATATCGTTATCAGATTTTTACGCCACCCTTGTATCAGAACCAGTATCGGCGTCAATAATCCCATATCAGTCGGCTCCTAACTGTGAAAATCCTAGTTTGTGTTTTTCCTTCAAAAGCTCCTGAAGAATATGAAGTGTATAAAATATAAAGAATTAAAATGGGAAACTGCATTTCGACTTTAAAACTTCACTTGCAGAAATGTGATTAATAAACCAAGCGGAAGAAATGAAGGAACACGGGGACAAAAAGCGAAAGTACTTCATCCTCTGCCTCCTTCACGTCATCGTCCCAGATAACAGTTATTTTCCTGTCGGACCGTTGTGTTGCTAATTTTCCTTCCTCCCAAACAAACCCTCCGCAGCTTTAACAACCTGGGCAGAGGAAAACAGGATTGTTTGTTCTGATCCACTCCAGTAGTCATATAATTGCTTCCTGGAGGTCTCACAGGTAACAGAAATGTGTTACATCCTCACTGATGGGTCTGCCTGTCTCCGTCTTTTGTTTGTAGGATGAGGAGGAAGAAATTAAGCTGGAAATCAACATGCTGAAGAAGTACTCTCACCACAGAAACATCGCCACCTACTACGGAGCCTTCATCAAGAAGAGTCCACCTGGACATGACGACCAGCTATGGGTGAGTCTCTTTCCTCCAGTTATTATTCCGACATGTCACCCAACTCTCTCTCTCTCTCTCTCTCTTCATTTCCGACTCTAAAGCCTCCTTCCCCCCAAAAAACAACAAGAACAAAAACATCATGTGCAGCACGCTGTCTCCTCGAGGTAGCTTATCATTTCATATAAAACAGCAGAAGATCTCATAAAAGCAGTGACACTACACGGAGCACTGTGGAACAGAATGAGAGTGATTTAACATCAGAGAGGAAAATCTTGTGTTACTGAGAGAAGATGGTCTGAAATCTTTCCTGAGATTTTCTCATTTAACCAAGTTTAGTGTCAAAAAGGAGAAAAGAGTGCTATAATAGCCTGATTTTAGGTTTCCCCCCTCATATTTAAATTAAGCGTAGACAGCAGTGACAGCAGATAAGAGACAAATCAGAGATCAGAATTCAAACATCTCTTTAGCAGTGGGTCCCGTCTCTGTGGCTGTGATGTGTCTGTGTGTTGAGTTATTATGATACACACTGCCTTTCTGTTCACCTGCAAACCCTGAATACATCAAACATAGTATCACCAACATTATAGCCTATTCTGGCTCTCATACACATACAGAGAGAGGGGGGAAGGGGGGATACCACAGGAGAGAGGAGAGTAATAAACAACACAACAAATCAAAGTAGAGACAGAAACAGTGCAGAGGAAATGAATAATAAACAAAGCAAAATGAGAAACAAACAGGCGTCAGGGGGAGAACAGATTTATAGGGCTTGTTGGAGTCAGGATCACCTAATTTTATGACCCCGCAGAGAGGAGAGGTCTCACTCTCACCCCACAACACGGCTCCGTGTTTGTTTTTACAGCTGCATCCACGACCCGTTTACAACCCGGCTAATGTGGCTACACGCTGTCTGCTGTTTGTGTTAGTGTGTGTGAGAGGGAGAGGATGTATACGTGTCATTTTCTGCAGTCCAATACAACTAATTCAAAATATTCCTGCACAATGCAGAGGCAGAAAATAAGGCAGGGTTTGGCTCCGTTCAGTTTGTTCTTCTATAAACAAACTGTACGAAACAGCAGATTGTTCTGTTTCTATCAGCACTACTTCAGCAGATAAAGAGTGTTATATTGCATGTTTCATATTTTTGTATTCCCTGCAGAGGAAGCAAAAGTACACGCGTCCTTTACTCAAGGAGAAATACAGATATGTGTGTTAGAAAAAGTTTCTGTTAAAAATAAAAAGTTCTGAAGTCAAAGTAAAAAAGATTCTGAATGTACTCACAGTATTAAAGGGTATAAAAAAATCAACTTCTACAGTGTTTTTGAACATTTGGGTAACCTGAGTGTCTACTGACCCACACAATGAGAAATAAACCCATCCAGTCTTTTGTTTGTGGTCTGCAAAAGTCTTACAACACAGAGAAAAATGCTCAGTTTCAAAAAAGCCTAGAACAAAACTTTTGCGCAGGTCCACCATTTTTCTTCTCGCTAGCGAAGGAGGGATATCTACCAGGAAAACTTAAAGAGACACACACACCAAAACGGAGCGTTCTGAGAGAGCTGGTTTATACAGGGTCACAAACCTCCTCTGGTGCTTGATTCATGTTATATTTTGACCAAAGCACAGCACAGATGTTTCATTTAGACCACAGGGGACTGTTTGAAAAGGTGTAAAAGGGGTATAAGATGTCCTCTTTAAAGTGTAAAGCAGATCTCTGAGGGACATTTCTACCTGTGGCTTTTGTTCAGACTGACCTACATGTAAAAATAGTCATACACTGACAGTTATTTAAAGGTATATTGCTCCTAGGTGCAAACCAGATACAAAAAATATACCTAACAATGATTGCATCAAAGATAAAATAATACACATTAGTTTAAAAAGCTTGATTTAAGAGCATAATAAGTAGAAGGTGCAGATATTTCATTTTAAATCTGGGGCTTTAAGGGTAGAAAGTTTTCAGAAAGATTTCTTTACACTCTTCTTTTGTACAGTAATAAAGTATTTGCATTTGATGAGTTCCCACGTCTGATTCTCTTCAAACATGAACCGTGTTTCAGCTCTGATTTATGTGGCCCCACATTAGGAAGGCAACAGCTTAAAGGCCTCAGTTAAAATTCTGTTAAATTATTTACTGACTTTAAGTGGACTGTTTGTCATCATGATTTGACCATCAAATTATTTCAATTAAATTATTAATCATCATCATTAATCATCAAATTATTAAATGTATATTTTATAAGTCTATTCTGGAGTCAGTGGATTTCCTCGTGCTCACATCATTAAGACCAAATTTCCCATCAACCCTTCTGCTTCCAGTCTCCTGTCCCAGTCCCTGCAAAGGTTAAAAAATGTTTTCCATCAGCCTTTATTCTGACAACAGATGCTCTCATATTTCCACACAGATAAAAACAAAAGTAGAAAAAATGAAGAAGAGAAGATGAAACAACAGAAGCTAAATCTAATAGAAACCAACTGTGTCTGTACAAAATACATGTGCTACTGGTTTGCTGGTGTACAAATGCTGCATGTAGCACCTTTTGCAGATTGTCTCTGGAACTGTGTTTTCTTATTGTCTGCCCTCTCTCTCTCTCCCTCTCCCTACCTCTCTCTCTCTCTCTCTCTCTCTCTCTCTCTCTCTCTCTCTCTCTCCTCCAGCTGGTGATGGAGTTCTGCGGTGCCGGCTCCATCACAGATCTGGTCAAAAACACGAAAGGAAACACCCTGAAGGAGGACTGGATCGCCTACATCTCCAGAGAGATCCTCAGGGTCCGTAACCATGACGATTTATTTTCCACAGTCAATTAAGGGAAACTTAACCAAGTGTGTTTTTGTTGAAAGGCTGAAAGTTGAAATGCTTTTATTGTTGCCTGATTAAGCACAAACATTTAAAACAACAAAGAGTGAGTAACATTTAGTTGTTGTTGTCTCCCCTCTCTGCAGGGATTAGCTCACCTGCACGCTCATCACGTCATCCATCGTGACATCAAGGGACAAAATGTGCTGCTGACTGAAAACGCTGAAGTCAAACTGGGTATGTGTCTGGTTTTTATTGTGGCTCTAAATGGGCCTGCACTCAAAAAATAAAAAATAAATAAATACTGCAGTTGAGTCAGCACTGAGCTTGGGCCAACCGGAGCTTTGTCTTTGGGTTGTTTTGTCATGTATCCCATTGTTGCACAGTTGTCTCACTCAGTTCTGCAAATCCTTGAATAAAATCCACTAAATAACCGTGCGACTCTCTGATCATCATGTCTTGAGAGATGTAACAACATGGCTATTATTAAACACAAAAGAGCTCGTAGATTGTTCTTCATTCATTAATGAACAAACTTGACTAGACAGCTTGAGAGAGCTTTGCATCCTAACCAGTGTGACTTTAAGTGAGCGATGCGCTGCACAAGCATGAAGCGGAAAACTGCTCGAATAAAAAAAGTAGTTTAATGTTCTGCCTCCTGTTGTATTTTCTTTGCTTCATTTTAGGCCTTTGTTTGAATGCTGGGCAGGACTTTCCCCTCATCAATCTTATTTTATGACGAGACTATTAAGCCTAACTGTTTATTATCAAATGTATTTTTTTACGACGGCACGATAGCTGTCCTGTGAAGGCCAGTATAAACCACACACCTCCACTTTGTCCAGTTCTGAGTTCAGAGGAGGTGAGTCCGAGGTTTTTGTCCGAGCCTCTGACCTTTTCACTCGACAAAGACTAAGGACTCGTGTGTGCCGGTTTCAATGTGATGTCAGGCTGAGTCAAATTTTAATTAACATGGTGCTGGGCCAAGAGGCCGAATCTTTAATGTGGCTCAGGGGCGGAAACTTGAATGACCCCTCTGATGATGTTGGTCTGTTCAAACACAGGATCAGCACTCTTTTAAATTTCACATTCAGTTTTTTTTTATTTCATATTTTAACCTCCATCTGTCCCCAAAAAAAAATCATGACATTCAGGGTCGGTCTTTAGCGTCTCTTTTACTTTTATAAAAAATATGCAAATGAAATGTTTTTGTTCCGATGATAATTAAATTCAACTTTTTTTTCCCCCAGTGGACTTTGGTGTGAGCGCTCAGCTGGACCGGACGGTGGGACGAAGGAACACTTTCATCGGGACGCCATATTGGATGGCTCCAGAGGTCATCGCTTGTGATGAAAACCCAGACGCTACCTATGACTACAGGGTAAGAAACCAGAACAAAGGCGGGGAAAAAAAACCACTTGATAAACAGTTTAGCATACATCCAAAAGCTTTTGTGATAGACGTATCAACCTGCAGATGTTTGTTTGATAATATCCAGAATAATCAGGACATTATCTCCGGAATCCAACATTCTTGAATAATTTGCTCGTAGTGTCAGAAATCCCCGTCTGGAAAAAGAGATTAAATGGTGCTTCATTTAAAAGCAGTTGCATGAGTTTAAAAAGTAAAAAAAACAACACTTTGATCGTAGATATGAGCAGCTCCACAGTAGGAATAAACATGCATGAATAAAAGAAACAAACTCATTGACCCTTTCTGCTCCTCTGTCCTGCAGAGTGACCTGTGGTCATGTGGAATCACGGCCATAGAGATGGCAGAGGGAGCGCCTCGTAAGTACACATCACTTAAACATCATGTTGGTTTGGTTGGCATTTCGAAAACAGGAAATCCTTTAAATGTTCGTTTTGAGGAACTGATGTCATTTCAGCACAAAGTGGGACAAGAGCAGCATTTTCTACGACTTCTGCAAACAGATAATGAACCCATTGACTCGAGCAGAAATTTGAAAAAGTTCCTCAACATATCATTTGAGGCAAAGGTGCATGATACATATCTGGCAAATTATTTTTTCAATCAAGTGCAGTTAATGCAGCTTGTAACGCATGTTCTGCAAGAGATCAGAGAGCCATGGTGTAATATATCCTCCATCTTTACTCACTGCGTCTCAGCCCTTCTTATCTTTAGGCTGCAAAAACTTCAGGTCCTTTTTTAAGTTCTCACTGACCATGTGATATTTCAGTTTTTCTTTTTTAATAAATTCGCAAAAATTTCTACATTTCTGTTTTTTTCTGTCAAGATGGGTGCTGAGTGTACATTAATGAGAAATAAAATGAACTTTTTTGATTTTAGCAAATGGCTGCAATGAAACAAAGAGTGAAAAATGTAAAGGGGTCTGAATACTTTCCGTACCCACTGTATATATCATGATGTTTGCTCTCTCTCCTCTCTCTTACCTGTGTTCTCTGTTTTGTCTCCTCTAGCTCTGTGTGACATGCATCCAATGAGAGCCCTCTTCCTTATTCCTAGAAACCCTCCTCCTCGACTCAAGTCCAAAAAATGGTGAGAAATCAAGATTGAAATGTTTGACTCATTCTCTGAAGTCTTAACGCGTATCTCTTAATAACCACACTGAACATGAATCTGACAGGTCGAAGAAGTTCTTCAGCTTCATCGAGGGCTGCCTGGTGAAGAACTACACCCAGCGTCCTCCTACCGAGCAGCTGCTCAAACACCCCTTCATCCGGGACCAGCCCAACGAGAGGCAGGTCCGCATCCAGCTCAAAGACCACATCGACCGGACCAAGAAGAAGAGGGGAGAGAAGGGTGAGTCCATGTTGGTGTTCATCTCTGATGGTGAAACTCAAGCTCATGGGCAGTTTCATCGCCGTCATAATCCAACATTTGTCAGTATGGGACAACACTGACCTCATCAGGGGGACATTTATTTAATTTTGTTCTCAGAGGAAGAGAAGCAGCTAAAATCCTGTTTGATGTCACCTCAGAGGGAAAACACATTTCCTGTTAATCACATGTATTTCCATTCCCTGACCCATTTTCTAGTCTACCTGTTTGACTTCCATTTATTAACTATTAATAACTTTTGTTTGTTGATATATCTTCATCCTTACTGTCCTCAGATGAGACTGAGTATGAGTACAGTGGCAGCGAAGAGGAGGAAGAAGAGGCCTCAGAGCAAGAAGGAGAGCCAAGGTAAGAACACGTTAACGGGTGACATATCGCCCCACAATTTGTGGCACCTAAACTTTGATACTGTCTTCCCCCAGAACTGAGAGCCTTGACCTCTGTGGAAACTTTTAAAAAGCAGCTAAAGACTTTTCAGACTTGCCTTTGTTTGATTTGTCTGTATTTGATTTTATGTGACTGTTTGTAATCTGTTTTTGTTTTATTGTGAAGCTCTTTGTGACGTCTGCTCTTGAAAGGTGCTATAGAAATAAACTTTTACTTACTTACTATACTTCCTGTTTGTTTTACATGACTTACTGGTAAAGGCAAATAAAGATCAAAATGATATTTCTGATAGATAACTTGATATAGCAATTCTAAATGATAAGAAGATATGTATCTCTTCTTTATGAATGAATGCCATCAAAGCAGCTCCATAGTCAACGTGCCCGGCGAGTCGACTTTACGCCGCGACTTCATCCGCCTGCAGCAGGAGAACAAGGAGCGCTCGGAGGCGCTGCGTCGCCAGCAGCTCCTCCAGGAGCAGCAGCTCCGCGAGCAGGAGGAGTACAAGCGCCAACTGCTGGCTGAGAGGCAGAAACGTATCGAGCAGCAGAAGGAGCAGAGGAGGCGGCTGGAGGAGGTGAGCTCTCAAGAAATATGAAATACTTCAATCTTTATGGACTTTCATTACTTTAAGAAAGACTAAACAAACAACTCACGCAGGAAATGAAGGCACTGCAAAATTATGATGCACCTTTTTTTAAATTCTCTTTTTTAAAGATTTATTTTTGGGCTTTTTGGGCCTTTATTGGAGAGATAGGACAGTGGATAGAGGTGGAATGGAGAGAGAGAGAGAGAGTGGGGATTGACATGCGGGAAAGTAGCCACAGGTTGGATTTGAACCTGGGCCGCCCGTGTTTTGAGGACTATAGCCTCCATATATGGGACGCGCGCGCTAACCACTGCGCCACCAGCGCCCCATGATGCACCTTGTTTAAAGTCAAAAAACCAAACAAACCATGACCCGAAAATCTTTTAAGACAAAAGGCCTCCATTCCTTCAAACTGATTCCTTCTCCCACATCGAAGACGATCTCTGAATCTAAACAGTGGAAACACCGCAGTCAGTCTCTGCTCTCGTCGTGAGTTAAAGAGTGTTAAGTAATCATGATCTCGATATCAATCAGAATCATTGTGACTATTTGCTACAATCGACCAGCGGTAGTATTTACCCACTTTGTCAAGTACATGTTACCTTTTGACTTTGTGGTTATTGGAAAGTAATTTTCTGGATCATTTGAAAATAATAGACTCTGAAATCAAATTTAGGCAGCAGAATAAATAGTTTCCCCCAGAGGACACGTTTAAAAACCTGTTCTTGTAATTCCCTTTGTCTCTTTGAGCTCGGGTTCTTCTTCTGTTTGTGTCTGCCTGAGCCTGGCTGCACTTCTCCTCCTCAGCTCTCTTAAAAGAAATAAAGAAATATATTCTGTGAGGGAAGGGGAGCAGCGGTAAACATGTGCAAGAAAAAAAGATTTGGAATAAAGTTTGACAGAAGAGGATTGAAGTAAGAGACCGAGACCTAAAGACTATAAGAGGTGGTGTCACACGAAGGGAAATGTACATTTGAAGATAAAAAATAAAAAATAAAAAATAAAAAAAAGACGGGAGCAGAGAGTTTGAGCATGTTGGTTCACTCCACCTGAGAGTGCAGCGCTTCTGTAAAAAGAGACGGGAAAATAAAAGTTGTATTTCAGCTCTTGTTTTCCCACAGTGGCTGCAGCTCGGGGCTGTGTTTGTGATTCATGACGCGGCTTGTAGATGAATGACACAGCAGAAACCGTGGCTGAACTGAAGCCATGTGAAATAAATCCAGCTGCTCGTGTGCTCTCCTGTTCTGATTGATCGCCTCCTGCTGTGGACACCTGAAGGCAGATCTCTGAGTTTGGTGCAAACACGATGCGTCACGATTACTTCAGCCAAATACGCTTCCCCTTTTAGCCACACTGTGACGGACAGAAATCGGTTTTAATATCTTCGACTGTCCGCTTAAAGAGCCAGGTCTTAGATAAGTGCCTGTCAGACTTAAGATATTACCGTGATTCAATGATTTAAATCTGAAAGCAGGGCTTGAAACGTCGACATTTCATCTTGCTCATGTCACTTCAGCTCATCCACTGTTTTGATTTATATTCCCTCCAGGAGAAGAGGTGAACACATACTCTGTCCAAGTTTGAGAAAAGAACAAAGATAATCTAGTGTAATAAATAAAACGTTTTAGAAAGACTTCTGCAAATGAAGTCACGAGCAATGCATTGAAACTCCTTGACAGCTGGTGGATTTGCAGCAAAGATCTCAGGTCCTTGGACAGATGGCTTGAGTTTGAATGCATGCTATGAAAATAGAATTCAGTGCTCAGACTGAATTTATACAAACTGCTGCTAACCGTGCATCAGTTTGTAGATCAATGGAAAGAAGTCTCATATCTTTTACTGTGAAGAAATGATATGCAAAAGAACTATTTGCAAGCGTGAACAGCATGCACATACCTGAGGGGGAGTGGCTTCAATAAAGGGGTGTGGTTTACCCAAAGCAACAAATAAAGGCAGACATTGGAAAAATAGCAACTCACTTAAAACTTCAATCTTCCAAAAGTGTCGTCATCCTCTCGTTGACTTGTTTTACAAACGACAGCTCAAAATCCAGACTTATTAGACTTAGAGTACATATAAACAGACGTTAAACTGACAATAAAAGCTGATTGGCAGATTAAAACAAAAGTCAGTACATAGTTTTAGTAGCTTTAACTAACTTTAAAAAAAAAAAAAAAACCCAGTTTCAGGTTACATAATTTACATATTAAGCAATACTACAGGTCTGTTGGGCAGTGGGCCCACCAGAGAATAAACCTTCATTGAGGCAAATAAGGTGGTGAACAAACACATCTGGAATGACCTACACAAGTTTTCAGTGTCTCTTTCCAGAAACTCCTGATGGGTAGCTCTGTGGTTGTTAGACCGATCGTCTAATCTTTACTAATGAGCCGTCAATTCTATAATAACAAAATGTAGCCTCCTTAAAAATCAATCCTTGTCATGCTTGATATTTTATTTTAGAGTGTCACTGTTATGTGTTTTGCACCTTCAGACGAGCTCTTCTTCTCTATGCTGATAATTGATCTTCTTGGACACATTTAATAACATATAAACTTGTATGAATGCACTTAGTACTCGGCTCACTGGTTAGTCCACAGAGAGAGTATCACCGACACTAAAGTGGGTCGCCTCAGATTTGGCTGTGAGACTCTCTTTGCGTGCTCCGTCTTGTTTGTGCTAACTCTGCTCTGCTGCAAGACGAATATTAGGTTAATGATCTAACATGTAGCTCACAGCATCAACAAATCAAACGTCTGTTCAGGTCACACCGCTCAGGACGTGTTGTTGTACCGCTTACCCGTGCTGTCAAAAACACAAAGCTCAAAACTCCCGCTGCTTTAAGTTGCACAAAAATAGCAAGAGGTCTGTGTCAAACATGACGAGACAAAAACTCAGATCTAGGACACTCTGTCAGCTGGGACATGAACAGGTTTATCTTCCCCCCCCCTCCCCCTCCCCGCAGCAACAACGGCGTGAGCGTGAGATGAGGAGGCAGCAGGAGCGCGAGCAGCGCCGGCGTGAGCAAGAGGAGAAGAGGCGTGTCGAGGACATGGAGCGACGCCGCAAAGAGGAGGAGGAGCGCAGGCGGGCCGAAGAGGAGAAGAGGAGGGCCGATCGTGAACAGGTACAACGAGACAGAATCACACAGAGATCAAAACAGGGGGGAGATGTCAGGCTGTCCGTGGGATTGGTAGCGATTTTAGAGGACAATGCCCGAAGTTGCGAGAATAAAATGTACAAAAAAAAAAAAAAAAAAACATTTTGAGCTACTTGGTCCCTGATGGATCTCATAAAGTTTTTTTTAGTGTTTTAAGTAATTTTGCACGGCCAACAGTCTTCTTTTTTTTTTTTTTGTCACTTTGCTGGTAACCATGGAAATATTGGATAAAAAAACATATTTGATTTGGGAATCTTCTACTTATGTCTTCTTCAACAGTTGCCATGAAGTTTTGAGAGTAAGGTTTTACACGACATTGCATGATGGTACATGCATGATGACATTGCAGGTTTTACATGACATTGGCTTAATTACACGAGCGTGTTTATGAATCATTTTATTTAACTGATTTCTTTTTTCAAATTTTGAATTTGAAAAAAATTCCCATTTCTTGGACCCTCATCATAATTAAGAGGCTTTATGTGGTGGTATTTCTTTTCTTCCAAAAGGGAACTAACAGGGTCTGTGTTTGACTAACAGGAGTACATCCGTCGTCAGTTGGAGGAGGAGCAGAGGCACCTGGAGATCCTGCAACAGCAGCTGCTCCATGAACAGGCCATGCTGCTGGTGAGTGTTGGTCTGCACCGTCTTAACCCGGGGCCTCAGACTCACATTGAAAAAGGAATCCTCCTGGTTTAAACCTGACCCTGATTGTTTCATATTTTAGATCTAAATGACTAAAAGGTGCATTAAAGGTTTCAGTAAATTACTTCAGCCAAATTAGACAGTCAAAGCCAAACTCCCAAATTCTGCGAGGAGTGGCTTGTAAGTGTGTGACACAAACAAGCCCTTTCATTGGATGCAGTGCACAAATACAGGTCAGCGATTGGTTGATGGCTGACCCTTACCGGTACATAACACCAAAAAGATGAGTCGTAAAGCCGCTGATTAATGTCCCGTGTTTTTACCCTTAAGTATGACGTTGCAGTAATTACAGCCCGTCTTTTAACTGCCAGCTGAAGTGATTCACCGGAGCATCTGAAAACCTTTTGTACCTGTAAATCCTTTAGAACCTGAAATATCCTAAATGAGGCCAATGTTTACATGAAGTGAATTTCCTTACATTTCTCTGTTTCCTTTAAACCATCTCGGCAATTTGATTCTCTGAGTTTTGGCCCATATTTCCCTCCGTCTCTTGTTCCTTCTGGTTCTTAAAATAGATCCTTCTCCATGTATTTAAATCTACGATATTCATTCAAATGTTATTTCCTTCAGTTTGTGTGTCCCAAGTGGTTTCTTTACTGTTTCCACAGCTCCCGGGTCGTTACATTTCATAATGCAGGATCTCATTATTCCTCTGTTACGCAAATTTTCCTCAATCCGTTTTTTCTTCCGATCTAATACTGAATCAAGTTTTTGGCGCTGACGTATGACTCTTGTGGACACATTAACAGCTGAGGTTGAATCATAATAATTATTCTCGTGTTTTTACTGGGGAAGTTGGGATGTTTACAGTCCTTTAGTAAGGGCGATGTCGTCACCAGGAAACTAGTCATCCAGTGGGAAGAGAGGGTTTCCCCTGTTTGTATTCCAGATGTTATGCAGGTCAGGCAGGCTGCGCTATCTTTACAGGTTTGTATGACTTGTTTTCTTTGTATTTTTAAAAGAGTTCAAGTCCTCTGGGATTCTCAGAGGATACTCAGATAATTAAAGGATATGACCAGTCGTATTCCCACTTCCAGGCTTCACACCATCACTCCACCGCTGGCTGCAGTCCACAGGTTTCTCTACAGTCACCGTTTAGAAACCTGTTTCCTTTACATCATGGTTGGCTTTCACACTAAGAGAAGGTTTAAAGGTTTTCTTTGGCCGGATTAATAAACATTCTTAAAGTTGCTGAGTTGTCATCTGAAAGGAGCTGTAATTTATTACATTATTATTTGTTAAATCGGTACGACTTGCCCGGCGTCTCCCTCGGAGGTTTTTCTTTTTTCTTTTGTTAAACGTGACCCTTCCTGCACTCAGGAGTATAAATGGCGGGAGCTCGAGGAGCAGCGTCAAGCCCAGAAGCTTCAGCAGCAGCTGCAGCAGGAGCAGGCCTACCTGTTGTCTCTGCAGCAGAACCAGAACCTGGACAGTAACAAAACTGCTCAGCAACAGAGCACCAAACCCTCTCAGAACCTGGAGCAGGACAGGATAAAACCTCTGCAGAACCCTGACCCTGATCCAACAAAACCACTGCAGAGCGCTGACTCTGACAAGACGAGATCTGGTCAGAGTCGCAGTCTGGAGAAACCTACAGAGCCCAAACTTCCTGCTGCAGACCTCCAAGGTCCCGCCCCCAACTCTGAGCCAATCAGAGAGGTGAACCCCTACAGCTCTTTGCGGTCACACTGACCGCTGTAGAATGCTTCTCTTGCTTGTGTGTACTCACTCACACTGCTTTGGGGGTGTGTAATATGTTCATGGTGATGGCTAGCTGCTGGTGTGGGTTGCTCTGTAGATAATGCTAATGACTATAATCAATTAATACTTCTTTCTAATCTTTTGATTCTAATAATTAAACGGGTCCATGTTGCAAATACACTCTGGTGACCAAAAGCTGAAAGCCATCTTGTCCCTGTCACAGTCTTCAAGTTGTTGTGATGAAGTCAAATGTGTGAACAGGAACGTTTTCTATCTACTTAAACAGCATTAGCGACAAATAAGGTCTCTTATGTGTACGTCCACTTTAGCTCAAATAGCACTGGTGTGACCTGATGACACATTCTCACAGGCCGCTGTCACCATCACTCACTTCAGTAACAAGTCAGTGGTTGAGCACTTCCATTTGCAGTTCTGAGCTAACTCCCTTGAATGCGTATTCTTCAGCTCTTTTAATTTACCTCATCGTTGCCTTCACTGCCATATTAATGAAGGCACTGTAATAATTAGCCACCTCATTAGTGCTCAGTGTGAATGCTTGTCCCTCTATATGTGAGGGAGGAAGAGAGAAAAATGCCTTCTCTCAAAGTACCTGATGACCAAGTGTTGTTTTTAGTTTTCTGTGCAGGAATTGGTTTGGACTTGGGTTCAAAGAAAGAACTGCTTAAGTAATCCTCTGATACCCATGATGGAGGGCCACAGACACTTTAAAAAAAGCGAGTGTTTCTTTTCTTTTTCTTTTTTTTAAATATGTGTCTGGGGTTTCCGCAATACTCGTTGTTTATTACAAACTTCACATCAACCTTACAAAGCCTGGTTGTCAGGATACTGTTTTATCAGACACACAAACCCTCACGTCTCTGTTGAGTTGAGACACAAAAGGAAAGTAGGAGGTCAGTTACAGGCATCCGTCCATAGCAGAGGCGCTGCTCATGCTAACTTCAAGGATAGAAGACAAGGCACCGTCTGGTAACGTGGCTCCCCTCGTAACTTAGCAACACAGTAAATCTTAAAGGTACATTCCACAAGTTTAACTATTACAATACATTTTCTTTTCATTTTAATCTCCAGAGTCTCTTCTGAGATCTATGAAAGCAGCAAAACAGCTAAAAACAATCCACAGCTTTGAGTATTTATGTGTCATCACCTTGAAACTGATGCAAAACCTTTTTAGTGACAGGAAGTGTTGCTGTTTAAATGTTTTTGTTTTATGTATTGTTTTGGGTTTCTCTGACTTTGTTTTAGAGACAGGAGAGTGGATACAGTTGGATATCAGTGAGAGAGAGAGTGGGGAATGACCTGCAGGGAAAGGAGCCAAAGGCTGGTTTTGAACGTTGGCCGCCTACTTTACATGGGGCGTACAAACTAACCACTAGGCCACCTTTGCCCCTTAAAATGGTTTACAATGACTTGAAAAATCGCTTTAATAGAAGATCTAAATACATGCTGAGAACATTTCATTTCTCCGTTTAAGAGCAGTCATCTTCAGATTCAAATTGGATCATGTCTTTTTCCGGTCGTGTCTATAATTAACTTTGACATTATAAACAAAGAAGACTCTTTCACACACAGACAAACTCTCTGTTTTTAAAGTGAATCAGAGTCCTGGACCCTCTGTGTGCGTCCTAACCTCTCTGTTTCACTGTCGTTGTTTTTCCCTCTACATGAAAAATGCATGACTCTCTTCGCTGTTCCTGAGCGATGTGGGACTCTAATGACAACAATAACACTGCTGCCCTTCAGGAAGGGCTTTGTCGTTCCTGTTGGTGAGCCTGTATCAGCAGACAACTTTCTCTCACAGCTCGTCCGAAACGTCTTTGCTCTGCGGGGAGAAACTAACAAACCGTAGTGCCTAATGGTGTCTGTCCCCTTCCTCCTGTTTGTCTCCTCACTCACATTCACCTGTAGTCTCAATCCAACGCTAATGTTTGTCCTTCACTCGTCTCTCCTCTCAAGGCTGATGAGCGATACCGGAAGAACATCCAGGGTTCTCCTCAGGCCGCTCAGACCAAACCACAGCAGCCTCCAGTTCCACCGCGCTCCGAGTCTTCTTACCCCAACGGAAACCCGGCATCTGAGGCGCCCGCCCGTCATGCACCCCAGTGGAGCCACAGGTAACAATTACATCTTTAAACTCTTCTCCCTGCTGTTGAATTATTCCTCCTCCTTTACTTTCATAAGTTTGGGAGCATTTTGAGTTGTTGTTGAGACGTGTTTGTCACTTGTCTCAGTCTGCTGGGGCTTTTTCTCTTGCAGGATTCAGCTGTGTGCAACTAAATGGCTCCACTGAGGGACTTGCACTGATTTTTCATGTACTTAACTTGTAAAAAGCAAAAAAACGGTGTCCTCTCTTGAACTCTTGATCTGTTTGTCCACAACAAAGAGAATAGATTGTGTAACTTCGTGGAAAATATGACTCAGAAAGCCCTCAAACCAAACAGTAAACATACACTGAGTCAAATGACATGCTAGCTTGTATATCAGATTACACTTTTTCATACTTTCAATTGTTAAAAAGAGTTTTTCTGTTTTCTTAACCATCCTTTTCTGTTCTACTGGAGCTGCAATGGCCTTTAATAACTTCCTATGATCATAATCTTTCGTTAAGGTTCTCTCTTTCAGGTTGTTTCAGGATACTTGTGATTTCTGTCTTGCTCTTTGTTGTTTAATTCTTACATGTTTTTGTGAGATATGCATAAAGATATGTGAGCTGTGTTCGGTAGGATTGAGTCTGTAGCTGAACTCTTTCAGGTTGTTTCATGTGGATGACGGAGACGACGATCCCTGTAATCTTTTCAGCTTCGGGGTCGTCATCATTCTTTTTAATATCGTTTGTTTAAATATGTGGCATGAGTTCTGTTTCGTCTGAAAGACATGATTACAGCCTCGATTATATAACCTTCTCCCATGATTGACTCTTTGATTGACAGGTTGTCCTCCCTCTACACTGGATGTATAATTATTCCAGTCTCTTTTATTTGTATGAACACAATCATCGAGCTGTGTGTCGTAGCTTTGTGTGTCTTCACTCCACATACTGTTCCTCCTTATTGTTCACTGGTGATAAAATGCATCCATAATTCATAGGCACTACGTTTTTCAGCGAGGGCGACTGTGATTCAGCGTTAGTCATTATCCCAGCGAATAATTCAAACCACTAAGCATAAATAATCACAGTTCATTGAAGTCCCTCTGTTTTGAATATGTCCCGCAGAAGAAATTACTCAAAGTCGATGCTGTAACTCTGTGTTATGTGGGTGATGATGTCATTCACTGGTGTGATCTTAAAAAAAGGATTGATTATTTCTCTCTCCTTAGCTGCAGACTAACATCAGTCGTAGTGTTTCGTTTTAACAATGTTACACGTACTGAGTTCATAATCTACTGAATCTAACTCAGGGGAGTCGTTGTCAGGTGTTGTAAGAGGAGTTAAAGTTATTCAGGACCCAGTTTGTTTCCAGCATGTTACTAATAGGGACGCAGAGTATCGGTATTTTTCTGATATTTTCCAAGTTATGTTAGCTGATTGAAGAGATGTATTCTGTTTTTTAATTTTATTTCGATGTTTGAGTTGAAAGAAACAAAGAATAGACGAGGACCTATGGCGAGGACCTTGGTGTCCAGTTTTGCACGCTGGGCTCTGTTCATGGCTCGTTAATATTGTTCATCTTCATGCTTGTTAACGGTGGTGAAGCTGAAAGCTCCTGATTCTTATATCGTCTTCCTGTAATATCAAAGACATGCACCATGATAACTGATGTAAATAAAACTGGATGGGAGACAAAGAGGATGACTCTCAAAAGTTAATTCAAAAATAATATTTCGAAACTAATGTTTCACAAACATTAAAACAGATTGTCTGCAAAATGTCTTAAATCTTAACTCAAGGTCTATCTTGGCATTTGGCCATTGTAATTTATATCGGAAAGATAAAACCGTTTTCAAAACAAGTGGACGATATTTCAATAACATTTAAAGATTATTATTCTAGGATCAATGAATACAAGATTATATTTAACCGAGTCAATCTTAAAGAGTCTGACCTGCTTGATGTCTCAGGATCTTCTCAGCTTCATCACTTCACCGCTCTGCTTTGCACTTTTTATTTTATCTTTTTTTTTTTCTTCCTCTGCAACTCTTCAAAATTCAAAAGTACAGCATGATACCATGTGTTGGCCAGGCTGCACCTTTTCATTTATTCAAATATTTCTAGAGCTTATATTTAAATATTTGAATAATAGCTCTTTTCTTTGACTACTTAACACCTCCTGGCCTCCTTTCTGACCCAAAAGAAGGTGCAGCCTCAGTGACAACAAGTACATGTACATGTGTGTGTACTTTATTTTGTGAGTGTTGTTCTTGCTCCCATTGCATTAAATAAAAATAAAAAAGGGTTCTTTAGGAGCTTTGCTGCAGTTTGGAGCCATCTCAAATATGTGCAACTGAGGCCAGAAAGCTTCTTCAGGACTTCCCCCAAAGCTAAAAACCACAGCAGCTGATTTCAATAAATCACTTCTCGAGCACGAGCCAAACGAATAATGTCGATCAGATCTGGGGATATTGACTTGATCCAACTTGTATCTTGTATTCAGATGAGAAAGTTTTAAATATCAGTCAATCCTAACTAATCAAAAAACTCTCAGAGGACCAAAATAGAAAATCACTGTTAGAGTTTAAAAAAAGAAGCCTCTGCTAAGAACCGCTCTATTCTCTTCCAGACTTGCATCTGCGACTTGTGTCAGGATAAGCCCCTGAGTCACTTTTACATAAAAGTCACATCTGCAGCCTCACTTAGTTGGACATGTAACATCACTACCTTTCATCACTCTCAACACGGCACAGCTTTGAATGAAACGCAGGCAGATTAACCTAAAGGGACACCAGCACAAGGTTAAATACACCGACAGAGATTAAACACATGGCTCCCTGATTCTCAGCTGCTTGGTTATAAATTTAGCACTTAATTATAATCCCCACATTTTCATCCATGCCAACTGCAAAGATGATATTAATAAAATGTACAGCACCGCTGTGAAATAAAACATGTCACCTAACAGGAATTAAATAAGAGATCCAACGTTATGTCTCATCAGTCTCTGCTTTCCCTGATGGAATGGTGGATTTTTTTTTTGTGAAAATAAAAATATAATATACATATGATCTAATACAAAAAATGGTTCCAAAAATGATATTGGAGGTGACAAGTTAATTCATTAAAAAAAATAAAAGAAGAAAACCATACTGATGCAAAAATCCAATCAGAAAATGGAAAATTATTTATTTAAAATCATTGATTAACAACTCACTGCTGGAACCTTTTCTTTTATTGTCTATTATCAGCGAACTTTAGGATACATAGAATCTTAAAAAAATAAAAATATACTGTATGTGTTGAAGTTTTTGACAAAGCTGATCCCCTCTGTAAAACAAAGGCTACAGAGTGGTTCCTCAAGGCACACTTCTAGGCCCCTTTAAGGCTCCAATCCAACAAACCCATAAAGACACCCTGAAGCCCCTTTCTTTGTCATGGTGAATTGCATGCAGACTGACCCCTCCTCCCCTCATGTTTTTGTTGTTGTTTTATAAGGTCCGTTCCCATCTGGCTGCTCTAAAAAGCAACATGGCCTCATCAAACTCTTCTCCTACCGCCCCGCCCCTTGTGTCGCGGTCACACTCCTTCACCGAGCCGCTCGCCCCTAGCTTTGAAAACCTTCACCTCCGCAACAGCCAGGAACCCCATCAACACCATCACCCTCCGTCTTCATCACCATCCTCCTCATCATCCACGCCTGCACGCACTGACCCAAAACCCCACCCCCAGACTAGACCCTCACCCCATGAATCGGCCCCTTCAGAGGACGTCCCGCCCAGGGTAAGGACAGCAAGCAAACCAGAAGTGTAGACTGGCAGCCGTAGTTTCTGTTATTGTAGCGATTTCACCATCCTGACCTGTTTAATAATGACTTGAGCTGAATAATGAACTGCTTCCCACTCTCCGCCTGGTTCCTAATGCTATCAATAAATATTTTTTTATTGGATTTTCTTTTTTTGTCCCGCAGGAAAAAACTTACGTGGGAATTATAGAGGCTTTAACAAGAGCCACTTTAGCTTAACATACATTTGAAAATGAAACATTTGATGGGACACTTTAAATCCTGTTTCTCTTAATAAAAAGACTCAGTCTCTTCCTCTGCTTTCATGAGAAAATCCACCTGATACACATTCAATCACGAGAAAGAGGAAGTTATCGCCCCTTTGTGTGATTAGATCAATGCGGACGTCGCTTACTGTTATCATTAACCACAAGAATCCGTCTGTGACCTCTTTATCAACCATCACTTGGTACTGTGATGATGCTTGTATTGCTTTTTTTCCCTTAGTCTTTTACTGTAAAACCACAAAAGGACATACTGTAAAAAAAAATATCTGCAGAAGCAGAGAAAAATAAGGAAACGGAGAGAGACTGCTGCATTTAGGAAAAAGCTCCTCCACCTGAATGAATTACACGCTGGACACTAAGTATAGGACAGACAGGAAACTATATGTTACCACCCCCAAAAGTTTAAATATACTGCACTGAGCCAAAGTTAGATGCCCACCAGAAAAACAAACCCGATGTTAGAAACAGAGCTGCTGCCAAGCTGAACCCTGTCTGGACTTAAATGTATAGTACATAGAGATGTGATATGTCAGTTAGCTCTGCACAAGCATCATTATCATCTAAATACAGAGGAGAAGCATGTTGGGCCCTTCTTAAATATCAGCCCATTACCTTTTCTTTTTTCCCCTTTAAACTTATTAAAAAAAAAGCAAAATAATGGCTGCTTATTCTAAATTGTATTTCCTGCTTTAACTGGAGGTCAATGCTTATTGTCTCCGTCTTTCATTGCTACTATATGTTCTGCTTTGGCTATACTAAATTTAAATGTGACTTAGAAAATGTGGGATAGATTTGTTCTACAGTGACGCTCTGGGGTGTGGTGGGGAGGGAGGGTGAGGGGTATTGTTAGCCAAGGAAGACCTGTCATGGAGATGTTTTTTGAGGTGCATGAGTAAGGTTGAAAAAGTTTGTATTTTAGGAAAGCAGGTGTTTACATTTTGACAGGTCCTTATGAGGTTGGAGATTAGATTAAGAGACTCAAATCTCATACACGTTTTAGATTTCAGCTCTGATGATTAGTGTGAGATATAGACACTGTTGTTTGTTATTTCAAACATATTTGATGACCATGCTTGCTGTAGTACTTGAGGTTGCGATTCAACTGTTTCAACGAGTCTATCAAATCACTCTGTTGTACCACAGTCCAGTGAACACAACTAATTAACTTGAAGAGTTTGCCACTACCTGAGCAGTTTACCCAGGGATCAGGCTTATACCAGAGTTTACGTGATGCTTCTGCAAACCTCTCCTGAGGCATAAATGAAATGATGCAGTGTTTCTTATTGTTTTCATGTATTTGATGTGTTTTGTACACTATCTTGGACACCAAAGTGTTTACGTCAGAGCCCGTCATTGTCTTTATTATAAAAGGTTCCTGTCAGGACCACATCAAGGTCCCCGGTGTTGTCTAGACGAGACTCACCTCATCACCATGGCAACGCCTCGCAGAGCAGCCATGCTGTGCACCGTAACACTGCCAGGTAAAATAAAAAAAACAACAGTATGTATGACTTAGTATGGTGTTGTATGAATGATGCATGTGTGGATAAAATGGAAAGCTATAGGATTCTTAAATAAGGGCTCACTCTTGAATATAACATTTAAGAATCATAAAACTATTCCATAAAACCTGCATATGCATTATCCTTGTAATATAAAAACTAAAGAGATTCATAACTAAAGGTTTAAAAAAAAGTTTTTTGATGGCTTAAAAAATGTTTTAGCCTACTGATATTGCTGATTAATACATCTACATGCAATCATTACACAAACAACAGGATAAAATGACAGATCAGTTAACATTTTACAGAAGTCGACTTGGCCTAGACTAGTTCCCTGTGGGACTCTGCTGGTTTTAGCTTGAGAGGAGAATACATGAGTGCAGCCACTGAATGTTTACACAGAACATTTTATGAAAGTTAAGATTGTCTGAGGCTCGGAATAAAAAGGAGCTCTTATTGAAGTAAAAACTCTGCAATGTCAACCTGTATAAGAAAGTCATTCGCTGCCTTCAGGAGACAAAGTCTGAGTGCTGTGAAGCAATGTGACACCAGGCTGCTGTTTTGAACTGGCTAATTTAAAAGACATGAAATGAGAAAGACTTTTCAAAGACTCCCATGTTACGGGATGGATCTCACACATCAACACACACACACACACACACACACACACACACACACACACACACACACACACACACACACACTCTGTACACTCAGCGTCGTCACTGCGTCTGTGCTGCTCCAGTCTTTGTCTACAGAGTTGTGTGGGAGGATTTATGTAATAGCGCTAGCTGTCTAACCTCGTGATGCTTATTTACTTGTGTGACAGTGTGTGTGTGTGTGTGTGTGTGTGTGTGTATGTATGCACGCACAAATGTTTATTGTCAAACCACAAGTTTCCTCATGAGATTCTTTATTTGTGTTTTAGCTCCCTTCTGCTCACCCTGTAGGCTTATATATCAAGAGAAAACAAACCCTGTGTTCTTACTTTACCATTTATGACTGAGTATATCTGGAATCTCCCCCGGGGACTTCACGTCATGACCGTTACAGTGCAATAACCAAGAAGGTTATTTTTATGTTAAACCATGTTCTCTGTTATCAGCCTGACTCTGCTCTAAGTTTCAAACTAAACTCCTTACATTTAGAGAGAGAGCATTGGAGAGTGCCTCTTTTGCCTTTATCTAAAGGCAGAGTAGCATTTTTAAAGGTGTTTATTTGACTGGGAAGATTGGAAATGTGCACACATGTCTGTGATTTATACGTTTAGAAAAAAGTTTGCATTTAAATATCACTAATATAAAAGTCCTGGTGAAGGAAGCAGCGCTTAGATTCAAATGTTTCCCTTTTTATCTCCAGACAAATTCATCTCTAATTTTCCCCTTTTTGTTCCTTGACAAGGTAATTTATGCAAATACTGTTCAATGCTTTGAGTGAAAAAAGTTAATTTCATGTTATGATGTAGAATATTAGCCCACCCAAATAATGACCTGCTCGCATCTTAATTGTTCCTGTCAGAATACAAAATAACAACAACACATTGTTATAAATCACATCAAACGGTACATTATTGCAACTGCATCAACACTGCTGTAACCCTACCAGGTAGAAGATGTGTTCCCATCAATGGTTTCATCTCTGACTTGTCTGACTCTCGTCTTTGTTGGCTGTACAGCGCTGCAGAGCCTCGGCTGCTGTGGGAGCGAGTGGAGAAACTGGTTCCCAGACAGAACAGCGGCAGTGGAGGCTCCAGTTCCTCCAGCAGCTCCAGTAACTCCAGCTCTCAGCCCGGTTCTCACTGTGGCTCTGGAGAGAGGTTCAGGGCCCGCTGTGAGTCCAAACACACAAATCGGCACTTAAAAACAAGCAGGAGGCTGACACCATAACTGAAACAACACTTTAGCATACAGTTTTGCTGAAGTAATCAAAAGGGAGCTACACCAAATACTGATCTTTTTTACCTCCACCTTCTTCAGCATCCTCCAAATCAGAGGGCTCACCCCTCCAACGGCCAGAGAGTGCTGGGAAAAAACCAGAGGAGAGGAGGGACCTGGTCAGGCCGAACAGACCAGCGGTGAGACTCGGAGCAGACTAGCCAGAACTTTAGCTCGATAGTGAGAGTAGATCTACACCTAGAACTGCTGGACTGTATGATGCTTTGGTTGTGGCCTGATGGGAGACTGTTCTCCCTGATTTGAGTGTGACTGGTACTAAAGTAGCTCATTAGGAATGTGCCATTTGACCTGCTAACCCTCCTTTCGAGTGATGAAATAACCGTCTCATGTTGGGACTGAACTCTCTGGCTGCACTTATCGCTTCCTTTCTCTCCACTGGTCTTCCTGCCTGGGCGGTGTCCATCTCGACTCATGCCTTCTTTAACTGAAATGAAGTATTTACTTTTTCTTCTTTACTGTTTTTCATCTTCACAGCTCTTCTGATTGTCTCATTATTAAAATTAACCCACTAACCTTACCTACAGTAGCTTGAAGGGCATCAGCTGTGCTGTACGACAGCTAACCCTCTTCTTCTTCTTCTTATCGTCATCTATCGGCTTTGCTGCTCTCACGCTGGCTTCTCATTGGCTGGTTTTTCCCTCTTTAAATTTTCTTTATCTCTCCAGCAGCTTTTTGTTTCCTGCTTCACGCCTCTCTTATGAAATACCCAGTTTAATAAGGACAAAATTCAACAGATGGAGAGAAATAAGAAAAGTTGCACTATAAAATAATATTTGACCCATTTTCAATGTCACCTCCTCCCCTTTAGGACCTCACGGCTCTGGCTAAGGAGCTGCGTGCAGTGGATGACGTTCGTCCCCCAAATAAGGTGACAGATTATTCATCCTCCAGTGAAGATTCAGACACCACTGATGATGACGATGATGAAGAGGTAGACCAGGAGGCAGGGGAAGAGTCAACCTCTGGTCCAGAAGATTCCAGAGCTGTGTATGTATACAACGCTAACCTCAAAGCATGTTTCTATTGATACTCTAACAACAACAAAACGCATCCTTTAGAAGTCAATATTTGAGCCGAAATCGATTGTGCTTGTGTTTCATAGCTTTTCTTTTTCCTGCAGTTCTTCCAGGTTGAGTAACGGAGAGACAGAGTCGGTGAAAACGATGATTGTTCATGATGAAGGAGAGAGCGATGCAGGCTCGACGCCCTGCAAAGACAGCACGCTGATCGTCAGACAGGTACCAGCTGAAAAGGAAACAAACAAAAGTCTCGACTACATATTTTCATTTTTTTTCTGTTGTGCATTTTGTTCATTCATACCCCCGGATGTTTTTTTCCATTTTGTTGTGATGTTATGCTGCATGTTCTGTTCTCTCATTCTTTGTTTCTGTTTCGAGCCGTTTAGTCAAAACAAAAAGATGAATGAAGTTTCATAGCTATAGATTAAGCATACATAAACATATTTTTAATCCATTTTAAGATTTTTCCCCAAAATTGAGTACCGTCTAATCCTACTCCTACGTTGCCAAAGAGTTTTTGACCTCTTTGGCTTTTTCACAGCAGGTTTCTTCAGCTCAGGACTAAAGTAGACATGAGTTCAAGTCTTTATAGAAGTCGAAGTTTAGTCAAAAGATCATGATTCATCATCAACAGTTTGTTTCCCACATGATATCAACAGCGGTCTACTGGGCAGATCCTGTATCACCACACATTGGTTCCAACCAATCACAGGGCAGTTGGGGGAAATTGAGCCAGTGCTCTTTTGGTGGGGAAAAAAAGTGACGAATGAAGGGCATTTCTATAATTCAAAATGACCCTACAGTGATAGAAATGATTAACAAAAAAAAAAACTTTCTCTAATACTAACAAAAGAACAGGAAGTCTTAAAAAATATCTTTCTAAATTACTAACCAGAGTTTTCTTCACACCTGTAGCATATCCACTGTAGGTTGCCCTTTGCTCTAGCTAACACCTTCCCGTCCCCTGAACTCATCAGGAACGCATCTAGACCCAAAGTCGTGTACCCCTCTTTCTACTTCCAGAGTGCAGGTGACAGCAGAAAGCGCCCGAGCCCAGGTCCGGGTCAAACCCAGACCTCAGGTCTGATCACAGGCTTTGCCCCGAGTCCTGGGTCAATGCCAGGCCCAGTCCTCATCCACCAAACCCCCAGCCCCCACCATCATCATCACCATCACCACCATCACCCCACACAGCACTCGGACAGGAACGGCTTTGCAGGCCGCATCCACCACCTCCCAGACCTGATCCAGCAGAGCCACCATTCCTCCCCATCCTCCTCTGCATCCAACTCCCCTTCCTCCTCAAGCCTTGCCAGCCCCTCCATGTCTCCCCAGAGTCCCCTGGAAAAGCTCGGCATCCTCATAGAGGTATGTCCCCAAGACCCAACACTGAAACCTGCTAATGGATTCTACTTCTCATATGATCTGGAACATGATAAGAAAAGAAAGGTTGGAATCATGGCAGCCTTCAATAGGTTGTTTGTGAGAAGAGGGCGTGGCCTCTTGGTTTAATAAAATGAAGCCAACATGCCAGTGCCTTTAATCTGCAGTAACTCTAACGCCCAAAAGAGGGCGACTCCCCTGGTTGCAAAAACGGGTTTAATGCAAGAAAATTACTTCACTGGATTTATTACCTCAAAGACATTTTCTTAGTGAAAAACATGTCGCTTGTGTCAATTCCTTGCGAGGCTTCCTCTGATTGACAGCCAGAAAACTTAACCTGACAAACCAATGGAAGGTGTCAAAGAAGTTTCTTCCACTTGTTACTTTATACACTTAGGTGATGCGGCCCTGTTACTTTTTTTATTCTGATATAGACTCTCTTTAGAGGAATCGTTTTATTGGAGGAGGGCTCAATTTTAGGAATCATTTTTAAATTTGTTTGGATGGTAAAAAAAAGTAAAGCTTTTCTTCAGATTAACACTCTTCTGTCTTTTTGTTGTTTATATTTAATTTACAACAAAATGATAGAATTAACTTTATAGGAGTGATTTCCAGCTGTCCCATCGTGCCTTCGTTAGTTTTACATTTGAGATCTGTTCGGACTGATTCAGACTTGGTATCCTCTGAGCTCTGTTCAAGCTTTCCCACAAACATCTAAATCTCATTTTACTCCTTCATACTGCCTATTTTCAGCAAACGAGTCATATTTTCACCTTCCCCAGACTCTAAATCATAGCAAACAGGCCAGTTAGGAGCACAACGGCAAGTACATTTCCCATGGAAATACTATTTTTAGCTGCATCTTTGGTTTCCCTTTTGTTCCTTTTGTCAACAGAACTCCTTGTCTTTTATCCTACAACATTGTTTTTCAGTTCGTTTAGGATTTGGCCCTCCAACTGAATGCCCTTTGTATGTGGATATTCCACATTTAGAAACACCTCAGTTTGCCTGCTTTGTCTCTTTTATATTTGTCTTCATCTGTGTGCATCTTTTCTGTGAATGTTTTTTTTTTTTGTATCTTTCAAAAATATCACATTTAAATTCATGATATTCTGTTTCCACTGAGTCTTATTCTCTCTCACTGTAGAGCCAATCTAGTAACAACATGCAGAAACACAAGTCTTCTTCCTCCTTCACTCCGTTTATCGACCCACGCCTTCTCCAAGTCTCTCCATCCACCGGCAGCGCCCTCAACAATGTTGGTAAGTCCCCCCCCCTAGTGGCTGGCTCCATCAGGTTTACAAACACTGTTTTAAGTACAAGGTGGTAGATTTTTATCAAAGGCCTCCAAGGGGTCTACTAATTAAAAGGTACAGAATCACAAGGAATTTATTCCAGGGGCTTGGAAACAAAACAATCCAACTTACTCCATTTGCACATCAGGAGTAGGACCTTAACCCTGGGAAATCAGAAGTGAAAACAGCATCCACTTTATTCATCTTTACTTTTTATATCTGGGTACAATACTGTTTTATTGTTTGAATTTTCATTTGTCAGACTAATAGACTGACCACCACCGATCATGTTCCCTGTTGCAAACTCAAGTCTCAGTTATTTGAAGCGAACCAAACTGAAATTCTGGTTCCTCTTAAAGCAACAGCGTCAAAATTCTGAGCGTGAAAAGTTCTAGAGATAAGTTGAAATCTTTATTATTATTATTTTGTTTTTAAAATGAAGCAAAGAGTCTTCCTGTTCCCTCTTTTTTCTGATGATGATGATGATGATGTTCTGGTCTTAAAGCCGGTGCTTACTCAGCCTTTACCTCACCTGATGCAGCTCGTGATCAGCCATTGATCCTAAAACTGTAACAGATCATTGAGCTCGCATTGAACCATAAATTGGATTAGTCTGGATGGATATTTAAGAGAAGCAAATACAGACAGAGGTCATATAACACCACAGATGCAGATGCTTTCTGGAGCTTTTAATGTATTCCAATTATTAAAAATAATCAAGAAAGAAATCAAAAGAGATGTTAACTCTTCTAACCTCTGACCATGTGACTGATCCCCACCCTGCCCGCTAACTTCTACATCCTACACTGTCCTACCTAAGCCCTTCCCTTTGACATTTTAGGCTACGCCAACGACGCCAGGCTGGCAGAGGCGCTCAGGGCCGACCCGTCTCGGAAAGGCTCTGTGGTCAACGTGAACCCGGTGAACACTCGCCCTCAGAGCGACACGCCAGAGATCCGCAAATACAAGAAGAGGTTCAACTCTGAGATCCTGTGTGCTGCGCTGTGGGGTGAGGAAAACGTCATGTTCATGGTTTATTAATTATCTGACTGTTTTCATTTACTGTTAATATTATTGTTTTTATTTAATGACCCAATAGGATTGATCAATTATGACAAATATTAACAAGCTTATCTGCAATTCTGTATACATTTTATTAATCGTTATTAATAATTGTCTATTAGATTTTTATTTGAATGTTTCTTTAGCCATAGCTTTTTGGTCACTAGATTTTTAACCTTGAAAAGTCTATGTTTATATTTTAATGTTCTTATTGTATTGTGACAAATCATCCGAGCATTTTCACATCAGAATATATAACAATAATAATAATAACAATAATAATATGAGAAGCCTTTAATTGTTACATCAACACGTCCAAGAGAGGGGGCGCTGTAGTCTAGCGGTTAGTCCCCATGTAGAGAAGCCTCGGGAGCGGCGCGGCTCGGGTTCTAAACTGACCTGTGGCTACTCTCTCTGTCCCCAGGTGTCTGCCTCTCTCCACTGTCCTATTTCTAAGAAAAATCTTGTGAAAAACCCATCTTTAACAACGTTAACAAGAGAAATAAATGGCAAAAAGATCTAAAGAATAATATGACTTGATGAAAGGCAGACGATGTATAGACATTCAAACAATAATAGTTAAAGTAATCATGTCAGACAAGTCATCAGTTTTTAATAGTAGCTGCAATTCACTTCTTCACCACCAGGTGTCAGCAGTGCTCCTTTAATGCTGCTTGCCTTCTAGACTCTTTTGGGTGCGTTCGAATTGTCCCTCCTATCTCCTTTCACTATCCACTTTACCTTAACCCCGGGGAAAACGTCATGAGGTTAAGGAAAGGTGTTAGGAGAATTCATAAAGAACTTGGGGAAAGGCGATCGCGTTGCTCTGACAATCCGACCACATTTCCACTAGGCGACGTCATTAAATGTGACGGGCCGGCGGAGGTTAATGACGTGGGTCTGCAGTGGTGGACTACTAAAAGCGCATCTAAAAAACTTTCCCCTCTGCCTTTTACCAGTGAAATAATCCTAATTACCACAAGGTTGGGATTGAAATAAAAGCAATATAGACCACCAGGCTACAAGTAATAAAAGTGAAACCATCAGCTTCCTGTCCACTCATAAATCAACATCAAAATAAATATGACTGTATGAAATGAATTGTTACATTTATGTAAGATATAGCCTACACATAATGTTTTAAGCATACAAATGTACAACTGCACAAAGCATTCTGAAGTGAATGCAATATGTTGAATAAAACATCATCTGGATAAAAATGTCTCTTATCTTTTTATCCCTTGATCTGTGTCACTTTACGATCATCGTTCATTTCCGTGAACGGTCGGATGCGCAACTCGCTTTAAATGTTGCGGCCGAAAGGAATTGTGGGGCAGCATATTTCATCTCCTTTCGTAAAGGATGGTCCAGTGCTATCCTAAGCTAAAGGAGGTTATAAAGGAAGCATTGACCCACCTTTCCTTTGCTTTTAGAGAAGTAGAACGGCTCTTATCATGGCCACTACTTAAATGCTTCCGGGTCATTTCACTCAGTTAGGAACCTTCCTAAGCAAAAATGACAATTCGAACACACCCTTTATTTCCGGCTTTGGTTAGTGTTGTTGGCTTGTGTTCTCATATTTGTGTGTCTGTGTGTGTGTGTGTGTGTGTGTGTGTGTGTGTGTGTGTGTGTGTGTGTGTGTGTGTGTGTGTGTGTGTGTGTGTGTGTGTGTGTGTGTGTGTGTGTGTGTGTGTGTGTGTGTGTGTGTGTGTGTGTGTGTGTGTGTGTGTGTGTGTGTGTGTGTAGGGGTGAACCTGCTGGTGGGAACAGAGAGCGGTCTGATGCTGCTGGACCGCAGTGGTCAGGGGAAAGTTTACCCTCTGATCAGCCGACGACGCTTTCAGCAGATGGATGTCCTCGAGGGGCTCAACGTCCTGGTCACTATATCAGGTATTTACACAGTCACACACAGTCACACACAACCACACACAGTCACACACAACCACACACAGTCACACACAACCACACACAGTCACACACAGTCAAACACAGTCACACACAGTCACACACAACCACACACAGTCACACACAGTCACACACAACCACACACAGTCACACACAACCACACACAGTCACACACAGTCACACACAGTCAAACACAGTCACACACAACCACACACAGTCACACACAGTCACACACAACCACACACAGTCACACACAGTCACACACAACCACACACAGTCAAACACAGTCACACACAGTCACACACAGTCAAACACAGTCAAACACAGTCACACACAGTCACACACAACCACACACAACCACACACAGTCAAACACAGTCACACACAGTCACACACAACCACACACAGTCACACACAGTCACACACAACCACACACAGTCACACACACAACCACACACAGTCACACACAACCACACACAGTCACACACAACCACACACAGTCACACACAGTCACACACAACCACACACAGTCACACACAGTCAAACACAGTCACACACAACCACACACAACCACACACAGTCACACACAGTCACACACAACCACACACAGTCACACACAACCACACACAGTCACACACAGTCACACACAGTCAAACACAGTCACACACAACCACACACAGTCACACACAGTCACACACAACCACACACAGTCACACACAGTCACACACAACCACACACAGTCAAACACAGTCACACACAGTCACACACAGTCAAACACAGTCAAACACAGTCACACACAGTCACACACAACCACACACAACCACACACAGTCAACACAGTCACACACAGTCACACACAACCACACACAGTCACACACAGACACACACAACCACACACAGTCACACACACAACCACACACAGTCACACACAACCACACACAGTCACACACAACCACACACAGTCACACACAGTCACACACAACCACACACAGTCACACACAGTCAAACACAGTCACACACAACCACACACAGTCACACACAGTCACACACAACCACACACAGTCACACACAACCACACACAGTCACACACAACCACACACAGTCACACACAGTCACACACAACCACACACAGTCACACACAGTCACACACAGTCACACACACTCAAACACAGTCACACACAACCACACACAGTCACACACAGTCACACACAACCACACACAGTCACACACAGTCACACACAACCACACACAGTCACACACAGTCACACACAACCACACACAGTCACACACAGTCACACACAACCACACACAGTCAAACACAGTCACACACAGTCACACACAGTCACACACAGTCACACACAGTCACACACACTCAAACACAGTCACACACAGTCACACACAGTCACACACAGTCACACACAGTCACACACAGTCACACACACTCAAACACAGTCAAACACAGTCACACACAGTCACACACAGTCACACACACTCAAACACAGTCAAACACAGTCACACACAACCACACACAGTCACACACAGTCACACACAACCACACACAGTCACACACAGTCACACACAACCACACACAGTCACACACAGTCACACACAACCACACACAGTCACACACAGTCACACACAACCACACACAGTCACACACAGTCACACACACTCAAACACAGTCACACACAGTCACACACAGTCAAACACAGTCACACACAGTCAAACACAGTCAAACACAGTCACACACAGTCAAACACAGTCAAACACAGTCACACACAGTCACACACAACCACACACAGTCACACACAGTCACACACAACCACACACAGTCACACACAGTCAAACACAGTCACACACAGTCACACACAACCACACACAGTCAAACACAGTCAAACACAGTCACACACAGTCACACACAGTCACACACAGTCAAACACAGTCAAACACAGTCACACACAGTCACACACAACCACACACAGTCACACACAGTCACACACAACCACACACAGTCACACACAACCACACACAGTCACACACAGTCACACACAACCACACACAGTCAAACACAGTCACACACAGTCACACACAGTCACACACAGTCACACACAGTCAAACACAGTCACACACAACCACACACAGTCACACACAGTCACACACAACCACACACAGTCACACACAGTCACACACAACCACACACAGTCAAACACAGTCACACACAGTCACACACAGTCACACACAATCAAACACAGTCAAACACAGTCACACACAGTCACACACAACCACACACAACCACACACAGTCAAACACAGTCACACACAACCACACACAGTCACACACAGTCACACACAACCACACACAGTCACACACACAACCACACACAGTCACACACAACCACACACAGTCACACACAACCACACACAGTCACACACAGTCACACACAACCACACACAGTCACACACAGTCACACACAACCACACACAGTCACACACAGTCACACACAGTCACACACAGTCACACACACTCAAACACAGTCACACACAACCACACACAGTCACACACAGTCACACACAACCACACACAGTCACACACAGTCACACACAACCACACACAGTCACACACAGTCACACACAACCACACACAGTCAAACACAGTCACACACAGTCACACACAGTCACACACAGTCACACACAGTCACACACAGTCACACACAACCACACACAGTCACACACAGTCACACACAACCACACACAGTCACACACAGTCACACACAGTCACACACAACCACACACAGTCACACACAGTCACACACAACCACACACAGTCACACACAGTCAAACACAGTCACACACAGTCACACACAGTCACACACACTCAAACACAGTCACACACAGTCACACACAGTCAAACACAGTCACACACAGTCAAACACAGTCAAACACAGTCACACACAGTCAAACACAGTCAAACACAGTCACACACAGTCAAACACAGTCAAACACAGTCACACACAGTCACACACAACCACACACAGTCACACACAGTCACACACAACCACACACAGTCACACACAGTCACACACAGTCACACACAGTCACACACAGTCACACACAACCACACACAGTCAAACACAGTCACACACAGTCACACACAGTCACACACAGTCAAACACAGTCACACACAGTCACACACAACCACACACAGTCACACACAACCACACACAACCACACACAGTCAAACACAGTCACACACAGTCACACACAGTCACACACAGTCACACACAGTCACACACAACCACACACAGTCACACACAGTCACACACAGTCAAACACAGTCACACACAGTCACACACAGTCAAACACAGTCACACACAGTCACACACGTAAACGTCGTAAATAGAGAGACTCACACTCACGCATTGATTTAAGATGGTTTTCTTACACTCTCTACTGTAATATAAATACATTCAGGATGAAGACTTCAAGAATGAGATCAACTGACACCAAATAAATGAACATCACATCACATCAATTACACATCAAACATGAATACTTCAAAAAGTTTACACAAACACGGTTGCATTTAAATACTGTAATAAAGTTAAAGATAAACTTTATTGATCCCCCGTGGGGGAAATTTGTGCATTACAGCAGCTCCAGAGAACAGGGGACGGGAATATACTTATAAAAATTAAAAATAGAAGTTAAAAACAGATCAAACACATTTACATCATTTAAATAAATAAAAATACAATAATGTAAAAAAATACAATAATGTAAAAAAATACAATAATGTAAAATTATACAGTAACTTGTTCTTAAAAAAAACACACACAGTGTGTAGCATGAGGTGGTGATGTTGTTAAAGAGTCCGATGAGGCAACTGAGGCAACACAGAGATTAAAGATCAGTTTCACTTCTTGTTTACGCTGCTTATTTAGTTTATAGTGCACTGTCACACAAGTTTTTTTATGTGTTTGTTTGTGTGTGTGTGTGTGTGTTTTGTCCGGTCAACTTCCCTTCTTGTCTCGTGCACATGCTCGCGTACACCTACAAACACACAATAAATCCTGCTACATGCCACCTTTTCTCAGAAAAGTTGCCCGTTGTTGCATAGATATTTTCAGACACACTCAAGATTTCTCAGATTGAAAGCACATTCATGTTCTTACTTCTCCTATTTCTTAAGTTCTCTCTCTCTCACCCACTCATATAGACAAACACACACACACAAACACACAGACCATGCAGACATAAGTGTCACAACAGATATTATGAACTAATCGGATATTGAGTAAATCTCAGCTCGTCGAGGCCCTGTCACGCATGTGTGTATATATGAAGGCTGACACACTCTTGAGCTTTCCATGGTGGAAGGAAACGCAGTCACGCACGTAGAGTTTTACGCGTCGATTTCCTTCGCATTTTGAATGTGCATCATGGAAAGTTTTAAAGCATCACTGCTTGAAAGACCGACATCACATCACATAATCCATTTCCTAGGAGTCAATCCAAACAAAAAGCACACACACCAAACATAGGGCTGTCATTGTTTGCATGCCTAAGTTTCCTAATAGTGAATCAGTTTAGCAGAGAAGAGCAGCAGGGTTGCCTCGGTGAGAAACAGCTGCAGGAAATGTACATAAAAGAAAAAAGCACTCTCTTTAGGATGCAGTGGAAACAACCGATAGTTGCTAATGAGAACCTGAAAAATCAGGACAATAACCCCGAATTCATGCACTAGAAGCTGTTAGTTAGAAGTTGAATTAGCCTCGCAATTTAAACCGCGCCAACAAGAAAATCTGTGACATAATATTCAGCCACATTCTACATCGATAAAAATGACTGCGGCTAGCTTCAAACACAAAGTACCAGCATGCCAGAGGATAACTTAGCCTCAAACGTCTACAAGAGAGGATAATGTGTAACTACATTTAGTAGACTGTACCTGGATATACATTCATTTAACCAAATAGAAAAAAGTAAAATAGTTGTCATGTCGTATTGCTTGTTATCTAATTTCCTCATCTTTAAGCTTCAGTGTTTTTGTTTTAGTGGTTACACCTTTTTGTATTCTCATTCGAGAAATCAAATAACTACATTTTTTTTTTTTATATTTATTTTTGGGCTTTTTGTGCCTTTAATGGAGAGATAGGACAATGGATAGAGTTGGAAATCAGGGAGAGAGAGAGTGGAATGACATGCGGGAAAGGAGCCTCAGGGTTTTGAACCTTGGCCGCCCGCTTGGAGGACCATAGCCTCCATACATGGGGCGCGCCCACTAACCATTGCGCCACCAGCGCCCCAAATAACTTCATTTTTAAAGTTGTAAACTCCTCTACCAGAGCTCAAGAGAAATGTGCAGTTGGTTGGAAGATGGAGTCTTGAGCTTTTCTATACGGACACGAGCACCTAATGAGTGGACTTGTGTGGGATAAAATCTCAGATATTGGTTTTGAACGATTATCCTTCTTTTTTAAATGTAATATTCTCTGTATTTGATATCATAACTCAATACACACATCATCCACAATGATAAACAGTTAAATATATAATTCTTTATGTTATTATTTCTAACAGTTCAGCTATTAAATCAAGGCTCTGATGGTGTTTTTTTTGTACTGGCTGCATATTTTTCATATTTTTGCATACAGCCACACTTCCTTTCCCCGCTTGATCCACACTGAGAGTGGGGACAAGTACACATATGCACACACACACACACACACACACACACACACACACACACGACACACACAGATCAGCAACTTCTCAAAATGTCGCTTAAAAAAAACCCAAAAAGTGGACATACAGGACAGAGTTGGGAAATTTGAACCACTGGGTCCTCTTAGATATATGATGTCTGTCAGTAAGTGCTGGACTGTTAATTGCTGCTTTTGGCTAAAATTAAATCTTAGTAAGTACATTTGTGAAACAACATTTATGTGAGGCCAATGCATATTTGAAGTGTCTGTAATAAAATAAAAATTTGTGTATAAGGCCATCCGATCCTTAGGTCGACAATAAGGGGAGAATAGTGTTTATATTTTTGTATTCTTCAAGAAAGAAGCAGCATATTTAATTATTGAAGCATGTTCTCTCGTATCTTAGGTGCAGAAAATAGATTTGACCAGTTCTTGATCACTAACAGGTAAGAAGAACAAGCTCCGTGTGTACTACCTGTCCTGGCTGAGGAACAAGATCCTGCACAACGACCCTGAAGTGGAGAAGAAACAGGGCTGGACCACCGTAGGAGACCTGGAGGGCGCCGTCCACTACAAAGTTGGTGAGTGACACATTAACAATAATTGGGGCATTAAAAACTGCAATCGGCTAACGGGTCAATTTGATGAATACCTGGGGATGAGAATGGTTTTGTTCATGAAATTACAACCCTCTGGCTTGGAACACAGACTGTATGAAACATGGACTCAGTCTCAGTGACGTCACCTAATGGTTTCTGAAGAGGCGTTAAGAAGCCCAACATCGGCGTGGCCATGTTGGAAATACTGACTCTCGCTAACTTCAGGTCAATCTATACAGTCAAAGAGGCGAAGCTGAGGCTGTTATAAGTGTGTAGTAAAAATTCCCCCCCCCCACAGTTTTTATGAAAACAGAAACGAGCTTTGACGATACAATTATTATACCAGTTTGTAAACATGTTTGTTTCTGCTGTTCTAAAGTGCATTGAAATACGAGACCTACAGTCATTTCTTGGCTTCTGGAGCCGGTGTGGACTCAGGAGAACAGGCAGAACAGCTTTTTGCACTTGAGCTTCAATTTTTTCAACACTAAAGGTTACGAAATGCTTGGAACCTTTGTGTCATCTCACCTGAATTTCTCTTCTGCTGTGACCAATGAAATTACAAATTAGTGAAGCTTGCAGCCTTGAAAAGAGTCCTCCTCTTCCTCCTGTTCGTTGATGAAAATAGTTCAGTTTGATTTCCATATGGTATAGATGGTCTTGAGATCAGCTGGTACCTAAACTTGTATCCGGTAGAAGGGTGGGCTCTATAAGGACATTCATTCCATATTCCTCGTTGATTCTGAATTGATAATGTCAGCTTTTTAGCTTCAATTTGTCAGATAATCATCTGAGTTTTTCGACAGGAAAAAGATAAAACAATGACTCTTATTTTTCAAACGTTAACAAACCGTTAAAGACGCAGAGCATACGTATGTGTGTGCACGTGATTGTTTTACGTATGATAAATGATGGGAGGAAAGCCCTTGATTGAATAATGTTCCTCTAAGGACATCAGAGTGGATAAATACTCTGTGCTGTCTAAAAATCAGAATGCCCTCGGTGATTGCAGTGCAACCGAGCAGACACCAGCACTTCCTGTTGGAAACTCCTCTCCATTGAATACAGCCGTCAGTCATGAAATACATTTCCTGTCAAAGTTTTAGTCATGTTAGACCATCGATTTCTGCTCAGATTAAACTTTTTGGAATCCCAGCTGGCAAAGACTGAACCGACACTTGGAAAGTACAGGACTTCCATAAGCGATGGATTGAATCGGTGTATGTGTGAAAACGCTCTGCACAAAACGTTTCTGTGACGCTCTCCTCTTCAGATAGAGCAAAGATGTTTTAATGTGAACATTTGAAATACTAAAACAAGTTACATTAAAAACCTCTAAGTGGCTACAAGTATAACCTGCTTTTTACATTTTGTGGCAACAATCTGAACTAATGTTGGATTCTAAAAATCTAAAAAGCAAACAAGATCTGCACACCAAGAAGCTCCGGACCAACAGGCTGTTCCTCACACTGCATGTTGGCCCGAAACGTCACTTATCAATTAATCCTCCAAACGGGAGCTTCTTGGTGTGCAGATCTTTTTTGCTTTTCTTTACCTGTACCTGTGTTTTTGGATCCAGCTCTGAGGTGCAGGTCTTTTTGGATTTTTCAAAAACAAAAAAAAATCAAGGATTCTTGAGGTTGAGAACTTGTTGATTTATTTACGAAAAGTAGCAGTTAACAAGACTACTTACTGAAAACATGCATGATAAAATTACATATAAATAAATGAATATCAGTTAATGGTAACTGCCTTTTTAAAATGAGAATCAGGCACAGAGTAGGATGAGCTTTTTTTGGCATCGCTTCAGACCAAGAGAGAAAACTAGTGTGCTCATCCAAGCAAAATGCAAACAGGTGCAGGACAAGAAATGTCCTGACTGCAGAAAAAATCTTTGCACATGGTTCAATGCGAAATGGGCGATTTTATTTAACCAGGGTAACATTTTGATCTACAAGATCTTGCTCAGGCCCTCGGACCAAGAAATCATTGTCCAACATCCACTTGAACATGAGCATGAAGTTATCTAGATTGACACTGACAAACATTTTGTGTGAGCAGCTGATTCTGGCTTCCCACCTTGATGCCGTTTCCTCCTTTCCTTATGTTTTCTTCTTTTTATTCCTCAGTGAAATACGAGAGGATCAAATTCTTAGTTCTGGCTCTGAAGAATTCGGTAGAGGTCTACGCCTGGGCCCCCAAACCCTACCACAAGTTCATGGCCTTTAAGGTGAGTCAGCAGACTAGCTAGTCGATATTTAAGATTTAATAAAACATATATAATGTGTTTTCTTTTTCTTTTTTACCTAAGATTCACAGACATGTGTTTGTGAAGCTTACTATCAGTAAAGATAATCTCTGCCCTGGTGAAAATAATTACTGATCAACTCGACTCAACTTTATTTATAAATCACTTAACACACAACACTGTTGATCTAAAGTGCTGAACAGCGCTGATAGAGGGGAAAAAAGGAAGCATAAGAAGGTAACAGACAAAAGAAAATCAAATACATAAAAACATCAGCATTATGATCTTTACCTGCAACATGCAACAGTAAATCAACAACAACAGAACAACCATAGAAATGAAGTTTGAGCTTCTGCTGGCTGACTGAACAAGAGATGAAATGTTCTTCTGCCTGTGTGTTTCAGTCTTTTGGTGACCTGGTGCACAAGCCCCTGCTGGTCGACCTGACTGTGGAGGAAGGCCAGAGATTGAAGGTCATCTACGGCTCATGTTCAGGTTTCCACGCTGTGGATGTCGACTCTGGGGCTGTCTACGACATCTACCTGCCTACACACGTAAGAAGACACATTCTGCTGCTCAGCTGATAGAAAATGTCACTTTGCTGTTGAACTCGTTCAGCTCTGGGTGCTATCTAGATGATAAATAAGTTTGATAACAGGACTGATTGTGTTTTGCGTCCTGTAGATCCAAAATAACATCCAGTCTCATGCCATCATCATCCTTCCCAACACCGACGGGATCGAGCTGCTGGTGTGCTACGAGGACGAGGGTGTTTACGTCAACACCTACGGGCGAATAACCAAGGACGTGGTGCTGCAGTGGGGGGAGATGCCCACCTCAGTGGGTGAGGAATCAGTTTTCCCAAACTCTCACTCGACCAGTGACCATTGATTACTAATTATCTAACACTTGCTAACATAAGCACACAGTTATTGTATTTCACCTTCACAAGCCTCTCGTATTGATTATTTGTCCTGTAGCTGCAGTGTAAACCCTTACAGACACACAGACACACACACACACACACACACACACACATGTTTAAGGAGCTTTGAAGCACTAGGTGGTGTGTGTTCAGTATCACCATCATCACTCAATTAGGTTTTTTTTATGTGACTTCATACATTTCTTTAAATCTTTAAATGTTAGTGCATCAGCTGACTGAAAAATGTCTCTTTGCAGCCTACATCCGTTCCAACCAGATCATGGGCTGGGGAGAGAAGGCCATAGAGATCCGCTCGGTGGAGACCGGCCATCTGGACGGTGTCTTTATGCACAAGAGAGCCCAGAGACTCAAGTTCCTCTGTGAAAGAAATGACAAGGTGAGGCAGCCGTGTAAATGTTTAACATCTGATGCCGCCTCTTGATCTGGTGTAAGTTGTCACTTACATGTTGCCGTTTTGAGGCGGGACATTTCACCCCGTTATGCCTTGTTAGCAATGTGGCACAGGAAACTAGAATGGTGGGGCGAAGTTAATCGTTAATCGGTAATCGTCCCCTGATCGGCCATCAGAGGTAGTAACATCGGTGTAATGGGGTCAGGCGGTGGCAATTTTTAACATTGGAAGCCAGCAGGGTTGAACAGCGATGTGTGTGTGTATGTGAAGCTCTTGCTACTATATTTCCACAATATAAAATGTGACATCAATATAACTCAGCTGGGAATGCAATGAGTAAGTACTAAGTAAGTAAGGCGCAATTATGTAGGAATTCCAAATTAAATGCCCTCTAGCCTGCTACTAGCTCACTAATTTTCTATAAATAAAAACACATGGAGCAATGTAACAAATGTTTTAAAACGCATGTTAAAAGTGAGCTAATGCTTCTTCATGCTGCTCTTGTTTAACATAAAGGCTGTCTGCACCTTCAATTTCGGTCTTTGTGAATCACACAGATTTCCAGACAGAACAGATCATCAAACATATCAGAACTATGAGAAAAACTCCCCGAGGTCTTACACAGTCACTTTCTGTTTGCTCAGTGACTGCTCGCTCGGCTCTATCTTCGAAACTGCTCGACTTTCCCTTCTCTCCACTGTGCAGTTTGAACCAAAATAAAGTAAAGATATGAAACTTGTCCCCTCTCTGGGGTTCTTTTAGATGTGCTCGTATGGGAAATAATGTCAGCTTTGGAGGACTGTGGCATAAAGGAAGGAGTTCTCTTCTCGTCCTGTGTTGTGTAATCTCATGATTACTTTTGTTGAGACATTTCCAGCCAATATCAATTTTCTAACGGGGTTTTATTGTGGAATTTACAAAAAAAGCCTATGGAACACATCCTACTGCAAATATAATTAACTTTTTATATTATTAGAAAACCAGCTGTCGGAACAAAATTTCTAATGGGGCACAGTTTTTCGAATAATATTCAGATTTTTTTGATTTTTTTTGCAATTGGCAGCTATTTAATATTTAGTTTATCTTTTAAAATTTAGAAAGGTTTCCAAAATCAGATAAGATCATGTATCCCTTTTATTTTTGTTATGTTGAAAAGTTTAAGAATCAGGATGATCCTATCCTCAGTGTTGCTTAAAAAAAGACTGCCCTATAGTGAAATGGATTTAGTTTAAAATCTGTGTCTGTGTCATAGGAATATTATGGAGATGAATGATTAGTAACTGGTGTTAACATCCCTCTAAATGGTGTTTGGTGTTTAAATTGTGGTGAACTTGTCTGATTGGTCTCCTCCTGTGTGTCTCCTCTTCAGGTTTTCTTTGCCTCTGTGCGATCTGGAGGCTCCAGCCAGGTTTACTTCATGACTCTGGGCCGAAGCAACCTGCTCAGCTGGTAGAGGTCCACACCTTGTCCTCTTCCTCCTCCTTCTCCTCATCCTCCTCATTGTCCTCCACCCTCGCTAACACTGGATCTCAGAACCCACCGTCGATGTCTTGTCAGCACTCGGACAACCAAAAGATAATTTAAAAAAAAACAACGACTTACCAGCCCTTTGAAGCAGTCGACAACAACGACTTCACCTTAACCCTGGAGCTGCAGCCTCAGCGCACGACTGAGCTCTGACGCCGTCTGCAACACAGCGATCAACCAGCTATGACGCGCAGGAGTGGCCCACTGAAAAGCCTGAAGTGTCAAAAGTACAAAATGAAATCAGTGATTAATTATTGTATGATAGAAAGAAATGAAATGTGAATTTAAGACAGAAAAGGGGGCAAACTACTTTGTTCCTGTTTGTCAAGGTGCTGATCAGATCGTGATGGGAAACATTTTGTACTGCTGCATCTTCTCTCTGCTACTTTGGCTGGTCAGTAAGCTTGAGGTCTAGTACTGCTACCACAATATTACTACTTCTACTACTGCTTCTACCTTCTGCAGGTCTGCCTCTTGTAAGAAAGTTACCCCATGATCCCACCCTCTGCCCTTTCTAACGAGAGTTTGGTGGGGCGGGTGGGATGGGAGTCTGTTGTATTAATGCTACAGTAGTGTGTGTAAATGTACTTCTGTTTGGTCCAATTACTGCTGACATGCTGGTTAGAGGTCGGAGCTGTCAGCCGGGGATGAAATGTAAAAAAAAAAAAAAAAAAACCTGGAGCAAGTGAGCAGGAACAGTTAGAGGCAGGTTGAAAGGGGGCTAATGTTTGAGGTTGTACTGTAAGTCTGAGTAATAGGACTCGACAGGAGGGCGTGTGTGTGTCGTCGAAGTGTTGTGTTGTTCGGACAGGTGCTTTAAAAAAAGGGGGGGGGGGCGATTGAGAGAGAAAGAGACGTTGAAGCAGAAGGCTTTCAGAATAGTATTTTTTGAATTATTGCTCTTATTATATTATGATTATTCCTTGAACATAAGTGTAACTATGTGGAGTAAAACATGTCTTTTACCTTGTTTTTTAAGATTTACGCACATCCAGCCCTCAGTTTGCTTGCTTTTACTCTGAACCCACCGAAGTGCGAGGTGTTCGTCTAAAGAGGAGCTGACGTGGGTGCAGTCCGTAAATATAAAATAAAGGTGTCTATGTACAATAAAATTTCATTTTATCTTCCAGGTAGTGTCAGTGGTCATGTTTTTCCCCTCATCCATAAAAAAAAAACATGACGACCTAAACTCAAGAAACTTGAACTGCTGTGAATAGTCAAGATATTCATTGAAAAAATATGTTAATGGAGTAATAAAAATAGAAAAGAAAGTTGAGTATGTGTGCGAGTGCAGACGGAGAGTTCAGTGTCATCGACGTATTGGGAGTTGCGGGGCAGAGAGGTAAACGTATTGTCAGCAGGTTAGTTGAGGCAGAGGAGTTTTTCTACCTTCCATTTCATTTTTCCTTTTTACCATTTTGTATGAATGCAATGCACTCAGTGTCAAGAATGTAGAAAGACTTATTACTGTGTGGTGGTCCAAGGCATGAGATGATGTTTTTTGCTTTGTTTCGTGTCACAAGTGATCAATCCTAGATGTTCAATTTATAGTTAAGACAATTTAAAAGCTGCAGCAGCGGAGCCTCTACGTCAGGTGTAGATATTTTTTGATGGGGGGGGGGGGCGACATTCAGTATTTGTCTTGCAACCTTTTTCACAGCTGTGAGGACATGGGTGGGTCAGAGCTGAGGGGGGTTTATTGGCATCCTGCGGGTTCTATCAGCACATGCCAGGCACTCTTTCATCCATGAAATGAGGATGTAAACCTTACAGCACCCAGACTCTGAATTTTTTGTGTTACTGTGATAAAAGTGTCACAAAACAGGCAAACACTAAACTGAATTTATATTCACTCAGCCGTGTGGGGGGACTAACTGGAGACGGAAACCCACATTTTCTGGAAAGAGTTTTCCTGATTGTGTTCCCTACTTCCTGCTCTGGCTGTTATTCGTGAAAGACTGTGCAGCAAACGGCAGCATCGGAAATCTATCGAGCTGGATTTTCCTCCGTTTTTTTTTCTCTCCACATTTCACCCGGAAAGTAGGTGCAAAGGAGAGTCCGGTTTGTGCTCTGTCCAAACATGTCTTCATCAGATAACAAACAAGTTTTCCTTGGATGAGTTTTCCCATTGACGACAACAGTGACACACATGAGCAGTGTGTTAACGTGTGATGAGGTTACTGCCGGTCACTCAGTAACAAACTTTAACCTCTCCTCCTACAGACAACAGTTTGGACCCCAATGCCGTGTCGTCAGAGGTCTGTGTGTGCATTAGTGCCCAGTTTGTGTCTCTTATTGCATCAAGGCCTTGATGGGTGGCTGTGTGGACTTAATGAAAAATGTGTGGCTAATGATATTCTTAATGGGCTAAAAAAGGACGAGATATAAGTCTGTATCTGATGAGAAAAAGCAGCCGCTTGTCTGCTCACATTGGATAAAGTGCCATGAGGGCCGCATATAAAAGTGTAAACCTAATGTTATGAAAACCACTACTAGGAAATCCTTTAAAATAAATCACTTGAAGCATTGTGTATTTTTAAGTTTTCTAGCTAGTCGAGAAGCTTAACAATAGTTTCTGTTGTTTCTGTAAGTCTATGTACACGTAAATATGCGACTGCGGTGGTTTAATATTATTATGCTCACCTTAGGTGGAGAAAATGTTTACAGAGAAAATGTTTTGTTACACTAATGTGCATCACAGTATTTATGTTTCATGCATATGCGTCTTTAATTCTTTGTTTTTGCTTTTGAGCCCGGTTTTCATTGGATATTTTCATTTTTCTGTCATCTCCCCCTTACCCATAAATAACCTACTTACAAAACAATAAAGAACACACGTGCTGTTCATTTCAGGTATTCACATCGTGCTGCTTCGACGTGGAAACATTGCAGTGACGTTACCTGCAGGCTTGGATGTGAGGCAACGTGTTTTTCCTCTGCTGTTTCTGCCATGCTACTCTAACTTGTGTCCTCTCTGTGTATGACAGGAAGTTGTGTATTTCCTGAAGGTTTCTTTTCTTTGAATAAACTTTAAAAGTAATTTTAATGAAGAATGTGTCCTTTGTCTCAAGAACAAATCCTCTGCGGCTGCTTGTTCCCTAAACACGCATTCAAACATGTAGAAAAAAGACATATTGTGCCACATGTTGGGTAACTGAAAGACTAACACGTCAAGTTGCACATTTGGACCTATTTCAACAGGTTCTTATGAATAACCGTGACTTTCAGCTCTTTAGAATACTAAGTGCAACACCTCCTGCTTTCTCAATGACTGACATCTTAGTTCAAGTGCAGATTGTGGTTTTACACATGAACAAAGTTACATCGTTTAAATTACAAGACATGTCATCTGAAGTAATGCAGTAATGTGAAGAGCAGTATCAGTGGGTGTCTGAGACGGCTGAAAGAGAAGTAATGAATCTTGTCATATTCTAAGATATTATTAATACAAACGCAGGTTGCCATGTCACAGACACTGAAGCTTCAGTGTTTAGTCAGCTCTGCATCGGTCTATAAACCTTTCTGCGTTCTAACCTCTCTCCATTTTCAAAAGCATCTCCAACATTCATCCCAGTTTCAGCACGTTTCTGCTCGTGGAGCTTTTTAGAATCGGGTAGAATCAGCTGTTTTAATTTGACAAAAAAGAATCCTTCAGCATCATGGTATTCTAAGAAGAAGTCATTTCTTAATGGATTTATTTTTGTTTTTTAAAATAAAGAAAATTAGTGTAATGCACATTTAAACTCACTTTACACTTGACTTACATTGACAAAAGGAATCAATGCTGCCATACATTAAAAGATTTATTTCACCTCCGTTCTTGATAAAGGTGAGATTATTTATTTGAGGTTTGAATACATTACTGAAGGTTTGGTTTTTAGTTTGGACTTTTCTTACTTCGATGTTAGAAACGACTCTTGCTCAGCTCATGTGGCCTCAAATCTGATGATGAAATAATGACATTTATTATTCTGTGAAGTTCCCTGTGAGAGCTGCTCTCTTTAGGACAAAGGACAGTATTGTCTTAAAACACAGTAAGCTAATGCTTCATTTAAATCTTTGCGCCTTTGTTTGATTATGCAGTCAAAGAAAGACGTGCAATTATCAGTTTTTAAGTCAGTCTGATGGCCTTACAGTGAAAGAACCGTACATGTTGAGTTTCTGGCAGGTGAGAAATGAAGCCGGTCCGTGGAACTGGTCACATATCTGTCAAGTGATATTGAGAATCAGGATATAAGAGATAATGAGGCAGTTTGGAGAATTCCCAAAAGATGCAACACCTCCTGCTTTCTCAATGGCCGACATCTAAGTTCAATAAACAGTATGTTCTTTGACAGTCACCCTTTGACCTACATTGATAAAGTAACGAGTGCATTGTATTGATGACTGTTTTTTCCTGCTTATTGATGAAATGGGATTTGGTGATAAAAAAAATAATAAACACTATTTTAATCTTATGATAAAAAATCTGCTTTGCAACATCAGATGAAACGCAGAAGCTCAGACAAAAGCATCTTGTCTACTTGTCTACTGACATATTGTGGTAATAAAACATCATCATCCTCATCAAACTGGGAGGAAGTAGGAAGCTTTAATAAGCAGAGATCAGATAAATATCTTAGAATATGAATAAAACAAATCAAAGTTCAAGGGTTCATGGCTAAATAAGATGTAGCTTGTCTTAACTTCTTTCTCTCTGATGACCAACATTTAGTAAATAACAGAAGTCTGCTCATGGTCAGAGTGCAGAAGCGAGAATGAGGAACTAAAGCATTTGATAAAACACATGACAGACAGACAACATCCAGGAGTATATGATATAATAAAACCAGATCTACTGATTGTCCTTATGGCCAGTTTCAGAAAAGGTAGAAGGTTTACATGTTTGAGCATACACACACGTGATGGGATCTCGATGAGGTGATGACCTTTCTCCAACAAAATCTCATCACTTCATTATTGATTCCAAGTTGATGTTTGTGCCAGTTTGTTAAGATATTCCATCCAGACATTCTTGATATATCATGTTCACAAATATGGGAACGACATTGGTGCAGAAGCTAAACCAAGCCTCTGACTTTGGGATTGTTTCTATGACGATGGTTGGTTATACGCACATCACGTAGGTGCAGGGCAATGAAGAAGACAATGCTCACACACTAAATATGATTATTGTCATTATCACCTGAAGAAGACCACATGGTTGAAATATAAGCCAAAAAAGACTTCCGTGGCATTGAGCAAATGTGTGGGCATATCTTCTTCTTCTTCTGTTGTTTCTATGACAACCAATTTTGACCATACTGCTTGCACCATGGAAGAATCTTCATGTCGCCTGCACCAGCATGTCAATATTGGAAAATGCCCAGTCATGAACTGTATGACACAAAACTGAGTAATGCACATTACTGCACAATGATGGGTGGCCTGGTTTCTATGCAGAGAGACGACAGAACAGTGAGTCACACGAATGAAACCCAGCTTTTTTATTATTTACTAAGGAAGGTTAGCTAAGCACCTAGATTTTTCTCTTCAGGCAAAGCTTGAGGATCAATAAATGTAGTATTTGGGCTAAATTAAATCCCTTTATTGTTTTGAAGGTCAACCTTTTTAAATACTTGAATGACAAGATTTCTCTTTATTCCCCTCTTAATTTATTGTTTGTTTTTGTGAACTGAGTCATTGGCTTCACCTGCAATTTGAAAGTAATAGTTGTTGGTTTATTCTGGTTGGTCTGAGGAGCTGAGGACTTTAGTGAAAGAGGCCCATTGACGGTCAAACTGGTCAACATGGTTATGAATTTCTGATTTGAGTCTTGTCATTGCAATATGTTCTGAAAGAAGATTAAGAAACTGTGAATATTAAATTCTACCTGTCCTTATGAATGTGCACATGCACACGTACTGCATTGTTCCAAATGTAACAATACAGGAGTGTTGCATATTTCAATACTATACGACTAACCTGTTATTCATTAACCTATGCAACTCCTCTATGATAAGCATAACAAATAGTTCTCCCTTAGGTCAAATGACTCAGTCTCTGGAATGAGATGACATTAAATCATCAAAGCTTAATATGACTGACACCAATCACAATATGAAGTAAAAAGATTAACTTAGTGGACCAAAAATCTACAATCTTTGGGAGGTTGCTGGACAATGGAAAAGTCCAGATTCATGTAAAGATTATAATAATGTATAAAAATATGCAATTTTTAAAAAATAATTTAGAGAAAGGGTTCAACGAAAGAGTAACCGGAACGTAATTTTAAGACAATGGTTGAAGTAATTATTTAACACTTTTGAAAAATATACTCTCTCACTCTGTACTGTTAGTAAGAACAATACAAGTCTAAAAATGAAGTATGGAGCTGGAGGTGAGCAGGTGTAGCATTATTCAGGGGCAAACAGACACACATTCGAAAAAAGGAAAATCCAAATACTATCTGCTAGATAATGCTAGTGTGGTGACATACAATTATTTGGTGAACACAATTAGCTGTAAATACTGCAGTGCAGGGAACTGAAAAAATTCAGCGTTCAGAGGTAGGAATCGGAGAAATTTACCTATTTTCCTTATTAAAAAATGATTCAAACCAATCAACAGGGTCTCTGGATTATTGGAGAGCTGACTCATTATTGAATTATTCCAGCTTTATGAACAACAGTTTCATGATGGTGTGCTTGAACTTAAATTGATTTTCTGCCTGTGGTGCAAGAGGCAGATGCAACAGCTACAACAAATGTAAACATTGGTAAAACAACACCACTACATTTTTTCTCAATGAACCTGCATGAAATCACACTGGGTGGCAATAGCAGTAGCTCTTCCTACACAATGTACAATGTGTGTATGTGAGTAAGTGTGTGTATATACTTCATTAGTGTGTGTTAAGGAGTCAGCAGACTTGAGTGATGAGCTGTGCAGTACACAGTGTTACATTGGGAAACCTGAGAAATTTCCATTTCAGAGGGGTGGGAACCTTGAAAAGAGAGCTCAGGTTCCCCCTGAGTGGCAGGAAGCTGACCATATGTTCTGTAGTCAACGCTGTCACCACATCGGCTCACACGGTCACACTGCCACTGAGGCCAAAGAGCTCACCTCTACACCGTAAGTACACTGTGTGTGTGTGTGTGTGTGTGTGTGTGTGTGTGTGTGTGTGTGCGTACGTGTGTACATGTGTGTGTGTGTGTGTGTCTTCACCTAATATAATTTGCAAATATCAAAGCATATTAATACCTAATGTAAAAAATGTATATGAATATGATTGGAATGTGTGATGGTATACATAGATATGACTGTGTGTTATTGTGTGTGTATCTATCTATAGGATTGATATTTTAGAGATTTAGAGTCTATATAGATCGATATACTGTAAAGAGAGAGAGAGAGAGAGGGAGAGCTGTCAAACGATTACATTTTTTAATCACGATTCATCGCTAAGTTTCAATTGCTTCAGTCAACTGCATTTTTTATCACATGTTGGGAATTGGATTATTTCACCTCCAAAAGTAAAAATTGTTCAACTTTTCTTTTCAATGTTTTTACTGTCTGGAGCTGAGAACTGCTTTACTTGCTGTATAAATTCTGGTTGAGCTACAGTGCTCCTAAAGGAACATAAACATGGTGAAAAAAATAATAATACATTCATTTTGCACCATGAGTGCATCGAGATGAAGGCGTTAACACTGACGGCCTAAATATCCTTATCGTCCTCTTAGCTGAAATTTGCAAACAGTGAATATGCATGTACATTACATACAGTATATATATATATATATATATATATATGTATATATACACACACACACACAAATTTAAGCTATGACTGACAATAAGGAGTTTGATCTTCAGAAAAAGGGGCAAAATATTTATTTAGCTGACACCATCCCTTGGTTTCAATATCTTCAAATAGAACTCTTTTACTCTCATTTAGAACAACGACACGCCCACAGATTTTATGAATGGGGTTGCCGTTTGATGACACATTTGACACATTAGAGGTTTTTATCCAGAAAGACTCATCACTGGTGTCGTATAGGC